CTACATTTCATGAATTTCAGAGTCGTTTGAGACTTTTTCAGAGCTTCTCTCAGGTCTCTGTAACTTCCATTATTTAGTTCAGTATCAACTTCATTTAAGTGGATGATTTCATGGCCCATTTAACTTTATTCATTAAATGAAAAGTTGCAAGCTTGAAAAATACAAAATTGCTATTGGAATGCTCCTTACATTTCAATTAGGTACATTGAATCAGAATTGAAATCTGAACCATTACAATGAGTTCCTCATGCGATTGCGCTATTTGTGTATACAACAATAGGTAAGTGCATCGAATTAAGGTTAATTAAAGCAATGACTATTAATGTGCGCAATGAATACTATGGACAGAACAATTTCAACTCTATCACGCACGTAATAGAGATTACACCGGACGAAGTAATGTGAGTGCAATCACGTAAATTGATAGCGATACTCTAGATAAATGTTCGCATATTAGCTGTATAATGTTGCGATTTTTATGTGCTCTTCATTTGTCTCGACTATTTGTCTATGAAATTATTTTGTATTGTTACAACCTTTTTTTGGCAGTAGGAACGTACGTTGTTCCTTTTTCAAAAAAGTAAACTTTTTAATCACTTTTTTGGTCTCCGCTAGGGGTGTAATTCGATCTCATTGCCAATACCTCGACATATACCAAACTTACTCAAACTTCTTTGAAGTACCTACTAGGCCTTTCAATAACTTAAACGTTTTGCTAAATCATCAGGATAATCAAAATTTAACAATTCACGATATGTAATTTTTTTTTATTCCTCTAGGTATACGGCTTTTGAACTTGACTTTGGCTTAGTATACGTACTTCATTACTATTAGAGCTGTAACAACAACACAGTCCAACTAGAAAAACATAATAAAACAAAAATTGGCGTTGGGCAAAGGAATGTTATTTATAATTTAATAAAAAATGTTATTATGAATCTCCCACGCTGTAATATACTATAAACACTGTTATTTTAACAGCCTTATTCTATCGACCGGCCGTTATTCTTCGGACGCTGTCGTAAAACAGCGATTTTCTACTACATATTTGATACCAAAAATAAATAGTGTTAGCTTTGGTACGTATTACGTAACTTAGATGCGTTCCGCAGCGACAAAATTAAATTCTGGTCGCTATAAATCGTTCTACCTAGATTATATACATAATAAGTATTGCACTTTTTATATGCCCAGTTAAAGCCCCGGCTGAAAGGAAAATGATTGGGATTTCAATTACGAGGTCTTTAGAATGTCTGTTCCTTGTTTCATCCTGAGGCCAATAAGCAAATACATTTTATTTTGTCCAATAATATGATCACTTTTACACACTAAAAGTGCATGTAAAATATTCTTGAACATATATTCGTCGTACATAATGTTTTAGACGACTAGTGGACTGAAAGTTATCCATATTTTATCATTACTTACGAACCTCACTACCCCATGGCAAAGTGATCCTCCCATTACAAATTCCCTTTCCATATAATATTTAATACGATTTCAATTATGCACTACAGTTTTCAGTTTAATCAGTGTAATTAGCAATGTTTATTAAGATGACATTAGAGGAACACAAAGGGAAATAAAGTTAGCTACAAGTATAGTATGGTTGCAATAGCAAACATATCTTGACTTCTCTGAAGTTGTCCATTATTAAACAAGAGAGACAGAATTATGCTCAAAGACAAAGAGCGATAGGGACAAAGATACTTTAGTGAGGTACTTCAGTCGGATCAAGTTATATAAGTCATTGTTGGTAGGTACATATATAATTTGGGCGAGAATGCCTGTTGTTTTGTGTCAGTATTAATCTTTTGTAAGCCTAACAAAAGGTGAAGGTTGAGTAATACCTCAGTAAGATAATAGCAACGTACCTTTAAAAGAAAAGCTTTCAAACTAACGACAAATTACCGCCGATTTTTGGGCATTATACATCATCTTTAGAATTTCAAAGCGAATTCTAAAGATGATGTAAAATTAAAATATGGAATGATGCATTCATTTGGCCAAACTTCGCGTGCGTAGTTTGCAATTGCTCGCGAACTGTTCGTAAAAGCTACTGACCGGGCTTTACGCGTGGGGCAATTGAAAAATAGATAAAAAAAAATAACTCTGTAATTATAACCAACTTATTAGGTACTACATTACCTTAGTAATATAAAATTGTGCCGTTTATCGCTAATTAGTGCAATCAATTCTGTCAATGATAACAATAAACGAAATTATGGCTTATGAACTTGAATTTTAGGGACCATTTGTGTGTTTTTTGCAAAAATTGCCTTCAATTTGAAGTCTGGCATTACGCGAATTAGGTAGATGTTAGTTAAAACATGCATTTTGGTTAAAACATGATTATTCTGACTTAAAAAAACCTTTTATTTTGAAATCAGCCATCGTGTCACTATTTTATACTTCTTTTTTGTCATATTTTTCCTATTTTAGCACCGAGTCTTTTCGTCCACTCACAACAGCCAAGACTAATTTGAACAAGCGAACTATGCATCTACGTTAAAGAAAGCAGACTTTACAAATTCACATTTCGTTCGTTTCAACATATTGCCTGTTTTCACTGTAAACAGCGACTGTATATAAATCTTCTATGTCAACAGCTTTGTTAGCACAGAAACAATGTACTGCTCTTACAAGCTTTGTAAGGGGTGTAAACATCCTGTGAATAGGATAATGCATGTTCATAATTCCTCTAACGCTTAGTGTCACCCCTTACTTTATATACCTATACCTCTTCCTCTTACATATGTTTCAATTAATTTATGTGTACCATAGGATATTTATACTGTTTCTTGAATAGGTAGTTATTTCATCAATCATGGTACACAACCATCAGACAACGAAATGTTATTAAGAAATCTTCCTGAATACTCATACAAATACGTATTATAGTAAAAAACGACTTACGCATGAACAACGCCATTTTCGAACGCATTTTATTCGTAATTCAAAAACCTATTTTGGAATATTTATTACGGTAATGGAAGAAGTTCTACTTAAAGACGCATTTATTTTTTATCATTTCGAAATACACATGTCCTATACCGTTGTAATTAAAATTATTTTTAATCAATAGAATCCAATGAAATGTTCATTCTGGTCTCAAATATGTACATGTCTATACGGCAAAAACATATGGATCGCCATACGAATATAAGCTTTGGAACTTAATAATTTCACTGATTGATAATCATATATAATTCAATTGGAATAACAGTTTTTTTTTATTAGAAATTCACACTTTGCAACTGTATCTACTAGTACCTACCTACTAAATCAAAGAAAAACAGTTGTAGGGTTGCCACCCATATATAAACCGCCGTGAATTCGCCTGCCGCATCTCCTGTCTCATAAACCTCACTAAGAAATGCCAACAAGCAGTCACATTTTCGTTTCACACGTTGATAGTAGGGATACAAGATCTGATGATACATAATAAATTACATTATACATAATATATACATTATGTACTTCCATGTATAATATAAATAAGACCAAGGTAAAGGTCAAATTACTAAGAAAAGAATGTTGTATATTTATATTCCGTTAAGAACATTGACACCTTGTCGAATTTGCATAAACATACTTCATTGAAAACGAATTCATTACTGTGACAATATTTAGACTACAAATAGACATTGAATATAACATTTACAACATAACTATTTGATTTTGGTCATACAAAACAAACGTTATTTTCATCCCTTCAAGAATCAGTATTACTTATTCGCGCCATTAAAGTTCCAAAGACCTTCCCAGCTTGCTCGGGATCACTAGAAACTAAAGTTATTGTGGTAATTTTTCTGGCTTATTGTTGGAAATTGCCGTCATTTACCTCTTCATATTTCTCCAAGCCGCTGCCGACTGGCCGACCAACGGATTTTATGCGATCTCACTAAGCTTTTCAGAAAACTGCTCGTTTTTCTAATAAATTTAAGGATCCGTAATAAAAGGAATCACTTTATTGAATTTGAAAGTAAATAAAATACAAAAGGGCAATAAGGATTCTATGGTTTATCTAACACACACATAATTTTAACTAAATAGAACATGAACTAAAAAACCCCTAGTAGATCTCATGTACATTATAAAGCCAAGTTTAGACAACTTGCGGGGGACAGCATCAAGTGCGGTGCCAGATAATACCGCAGATGAGATCATACGAAGAGCAATTGCTGGCTCAATCGCCTCTCAATTAGGTAATTGTAGTTATGAACACGCTACCGTCCTGCCCGCCCCCGGCTGACAACAATAATGGTGACCGCTCCATTACTCACCTGGTGGAACGAATTAACTGATACATTAACGCAAACAACTGAAATATTCGTGGAACTGGAAAGGCAGAATTCTTTAAGAAACAGATGTAATATTTCGTAAAATGACGGTTCTTTCTGGGGTATTCCATTAGCCAATAATTGGGTTATTACAAAGCTCTGTATTACACCAAATTTCACAATCTATTACAAAAATATCGTAACTCCTAAAGACTATGATATGATTGCTATTGACGTTGCCAAGTCACAAATTTCTGCTAGCTACAAAATTCTTCACGACATTCAATAATTATTCATGCCGAAGTATTTCCTAAGTAAAAACTTTATTGTTAAACTTTACTTAACTATGAGTAATAGCCATTGTAACGTGAAAGTTTCCATGTTCTTCAAGTTCAGTGGGAAACTTTGACTATTTTGTGATAAACGCTTCAAATACCATGTGTCGCTTCGGTACACGAATCCATTTAGCTTCAACGTCTAATAAAATAAAACTTTCTTATTTAGAATTGAAAGACTGTAAATATTTTACGACGCAACGCACAAAATCATTTCCTTCGAGTTTGTTGAACTTTTTCGGTGTTTATTTTAGCGTCGTCATACGAAGTAGTCCAGGTTGAATCTTATTTTCTCCATCGATTTATTCGGTTACATATCTGTTATTGTAAATTTTGTCAAAATGTTCTTTATCACTAATCACTGTTTTTGTTTTGTTGACAGATTCTATTGGGACCTGTGTATGCTACTACTGCTCGTGGCCAACCTCATCATCCTGCCCGTTGCCATCTCCTTCTTCAACGATGACCTCAGCACGCGCTGGATCGCCTTCAATTGTCTTTCCGACACCATATTTCTTATAGATATCGTTGTTAATTTTAGAACAGGTAAGGCATCTTCACTAATTTATCTAATTTCAAATATTTGACGCAAAAAATATATTTTTAATTCTCTTTCTCGTCTTTTCAGGAATAATGCAGCAAGATAATGCAGAACAAGTGATATTAGATCCCAAGTTAATAGCGAAGCACTATTTGAGGACATGGTTCTTCCTTGACCTCATCTCTAGTATACCACTAGATTATATATTTTTGATCTTCAATCAGGTAAACGTACGTTGCAATTTGGCCGTGTTGTTCTTATTACTATAGTTTTAAACTGTCTTTTATGTTGTTGATATTCTGTTTCAGCTTGGGTGTTCATTTGTTTTTAGACAATACGTTATTATTGTTTCCGTTTTGTTTTTGTTTCTCATTGTGAACTTTTACCCAACCGCCACGAGAACCTGTGCGTCATCGTGTATTCAATTTAGTATTTGTATTATCAGGGTCTAAGAGAACATGCAAAGGTTTGATTAAGCACACCACTTTCATTTAATCATCGAACTCTGTTCTATTTTTAGTTTTATATTTTCATCACACTCAGATATTTAAACCTGCACGTTTATCATCAGTAACCCATATGATTTCTCGATGTTGTTCTATTCCCCGCTGAGTAAGCGACCTTACGTATCCGATTATGTGATCTATGATCGTATGGGATACTTATCCTTTCTAAAACTTTTAAAGATTTTTAAGAGCACTTTCCAACCTATTGCACGAGCTATTCTAAAATGCTTCCACTAAACTGCACTTTATTATTCCGAAGATGTATCTATGCATCTATATAATTTGGTAATTAGGTATATACAGTTGTATTTCCTATTCTGAATTCTACATTGTTCACATGCACGTCGTCTTCTTTCTACCTCCTAATATTTGGTTTCCGTTCTTCAAGTTGTTTATGGCATGGTCTCAAAGCTTTGTAATGTAACGATTACTACTTTTGAATACTTTTTGTTTCCTATTTATTATAATATTTATAATATGTTTTGAGTTTTATACATTATATATATTATTGACTTGGTTTTCTTTTTAACTTTTAACAGCTACAACACGACCAAATTGTAATATTTAACAGCCTACACTGACAGATTCAGAGAACCTTTATATAACTTAAATTGCATCAGTACTGAAGCTTAATATGATAGACTAGCCACTGGAGAAACAAGCTATTCTTACATACTATACAGCTTTCACTAATAATAGACAATATTCCCCACTTAAACTCTACTAAAATTGTAAATGTACAAAACATAATTATAACATGTTTATTATGCTTCAGCACTTTTCTTTGGCTGACAAAATCTTTCAACTACTGCAATAATGCATGAGTTCGACACTTCGTCTGTATAAAATCCATAGGAATAGCAGCTCAATGCGATGCTCTACCTTCAAGTCGAGAGCGTCAACTGAGTGTCGCGTGATATTTCAATGATGTGTTTTTGTGTTGACAGGACTTTAGTGAAAGCTTTCAAATTCTTCACGCGGGTCGTGCACTAAGGATACTTCGGTTAGCAAAACTTCTATCTCTGGTGCGGCTGCTGCGGCTCTCCAGGCTCGTCCGATATGTATCACAATGGGAGGAAGTATATGTAAGCCATCATGCTCTTCAAACCCACATACTATGGGTCCCCTAACTACTTGCCACTAACACTGCTCTAATATACATTACGCTCACATTTACTAACACGACATGACTAAATACGCTACTAAAACTTTTATAATATTGGATTCATTGATATAGATATCCAAGCCTAAAGTCAATGACGTCGATGAACTATCGGCTACTATATTGTACGTGATTCTGATGAAAATTTGTTGTGATAATGATGAGTAATAATGTTAACTGTTTTAGCGTAGTGATCCTAATGACGTTAAATGGAGTTTTGTTGTAATCCTGTATTATACCATTGATCCCGCCCCCACTGTATGTGAGCCCCACGTCCCGCTCTGCACTTCTCTACTGCTTCTCTGCAAGCTTCTTTCTGCCTGAGCACGCTCTCACTCGTGACGTCTAATTCTATCTCTTGTTTCTGCGCCCGCGCCGCGACCGACGCCCGCGTACCTCGTGTCCGCCGACCCGAACCGTCCCACACTTGCCAAAACGATATATTATTTGCCGAAATGTTAATATTATGTTGCCGCTTTTCAAAGCCTCTAGTAAAACTGGTGCGCTGAAGCTGACGTTCTGCTAACATTCACTTAAAAAAAACGTCATGTAAGAACCTAACCTACCTCAATAAGTAACGTAACGCGACTAAACGAACGCCAACTAGACCTAAATACCTGCCTGTTCGGTGAAAGTGAGCACGTAGTTTCCGAATGACATGTAGACCTTTAGAGGAAAAAAATATCTCGCATTCCGAGAATCACACTTCGACATTAAGCTAATGAAACAAATCATTACCAGAAGCTGTTGCATAACATTAGAAAGTTAGAACTGGCAACACAAAGAGTAGGTAGTGGTTGCGTCCGACCTGCGTATCCTACCGACGTAACGAAGCGGAGAGTCAGTGAGAAGTGGAGTACGGGGAGGGTGGTGGCGACATCGCAGTGACGGTGTTGTGTGCAGATGAGCCCCGCCCCGCAGCCGCGCGACGAGCCGGGCGACGCGGACGGCGGCTCGCGCGACCTCGCCTCGCAGGTGCAGCATGCCCCGCCGCGCGCTAGCGCATCCGTAGGGGACTAGCCCGCGTCCGCTCGTCTCGGTGTTAGTGCATCCTGTGTGTGCCTGCACGCGCCCCAGCCCCGCCCCGCACACCTCGCGACGACCTATGCCCGCCGACCCCTCCGCGCTTCGGGCGCGCCTGGCTCTCTTCCTACTATCTCGTGTTTCTCGCTTGTTTTCTAGATCTTGCAGAATCTTCAAAAAAAGCGCACGGAACGGAGGGGACGTCTCAGCTCCGACGTTGCCAACAAAAAGAAGGGTGACACCAAAAGCAATCTAATCTTTAAGGTAACCAGGGTCGGCACGAGCCGGCGCGCATGTGCTCGATCGCCCGCTTAGCATGTTGCCGGCGGCGCCGCCCGGCGTCCTAGTCCGCTGCGTTCGCTTCGCTTTCTCTCTTTCTTTGGCGTTTCTGTTTCCAACCCTCGTCCCGCCGGCGGCCGCGCGGGCTGAGGCGCGCAGCGGTGCGGTCGCGCGACCGTGCGGCGGCCGCGGCCGCGCGACCGGCACCTCGCCGCCACCACGCATGCTCGCTCGAAGACTCGTCTCACGCGTTCATATTTATTTCTCACTTCTTTACGACTCCATCGGTAGAGAATCATCGCGATGCTTGATCTCGAGCGTCCTTGTCGCGCGCAGTCCGCACGGCTTCCTTTAGAGGCGACGTCATTTCTCATGCTGATCTCACTAATATATTTTGTTCTCTTTTCAGTTCCTCAACATGGCATCCGTTTTCATGCGGATATTCAACTTGATCTGCATGATGTTATTAATCGGACATTGGTCCGGTTGTCTACAGTTCCTCGTTCCTATGCTGCAAGGATTCCCCCCAAACTCTTGGGTTGCAATAAACGAACTACAGGTTTGTGTTATTTCAAAAGGTTTTATAAAACGTAAAAATATCTTCTTATTTCTCATTTTCTCATAACTGCTGCATTTTACATAAAACTTTTAGTTTTCTTAAAAAAATGTAGGTCAAACTTACCCCTAAGACATTTACCAATAAAACCCACGTTGCAAAAGCTCATGTTATGTTTTCTTTGTAAAACATGGTCACCCGGGCGCCTTATTGGAACAGTACCCAACGAATAACAAACGTAATTGGGTTTGTGCTTTTCACAAAGCACCGCCTTACCTTCGACGGAAGGATCAAACCTTTGGAAACTTTCCTGATTCGCATCTACTTCTTCATCGAGCTAAAGCTAAGCTGAATACAGAACGGACAATTGTTACGACAGATTATGTAATAATAGAAACTGATTTTTGATAATTTATTACAGTTTTTTAAAGTAAACAGAGATAATAAGAAAAAAAATCTTTCAATATTTTGTGCTATTTTTCTAACTCATCAAATTACCTATGTTGTCCCTATCTTCTAATACATTTCGTTGTTTCGTACCCCTGAGATTGGCCAGACTTTATCGTCTAAGTAATTTAGTTATTTTTGTTATAAATTCTACTAAGCGAAATTATAACGATGGTTACTTTTAAAGATTATGTATCAATATTTTCTGCGATTATCATCGACCTGCGTAAAACTAGCTGTACTGCCTTTTATTTCTATTTGTATAAATGTTGATTCATAAGCTAACAATTTACCATTTTCAATTTCAGGAAGCGTTTTGGTTAGAACAGTACTCGTGGGCGCTGTTTAAAGCCATGTCACATATGCTGTGCATCGGTTACGGCCGCTTCCCGCCGCAGTCGCTCACAGACATGTGGCTCACCATGCTCTCCATGATCTCCGGAGCCACTTGCTACGCCTTGTTCCTGGGTCACGCCACCAATCTCATCCAGAGTCTTGACTCCTCACGAAGACAGTACCGAGAAAAGGTAACCCTACATATTTCCAGCATAATTGGCTATTGTTAACCTCTTCCATAAATGTATACCAGTCATCAGTTTTAATAATGTCTTCTTCACCCCTTTCCTAAACATCGAAGATAAATTGTTATGAACACCTGCGCAGATACATCTTTAAGGATATTTACACGGATGAAGTTTCAAAATTAGAACTTCTGATAGTGATGTGGAAACATTACATCGAGTATCAAACTCTTCCATTGCATCAGAATCGTACATGCATGTGTTTGACTAAGTATTGTATGTAATGCCCCCATCTAATAAATCGATCACTAAAGCGTTCATTGCCTGTTTCAGAGATTAGACGTGAGTACAATGAGAATGTTTGTTTAGTGTTTCACTGGTTGTTATACAGAATCAATCATCTGCACCAATACTCATGTCTCCATCAAAATAACAAAAGTCATCATTTCGTACATTTCACAAATATTAACGGGTGTTCATAACTGTTTACTTCCATGGGTACTAACCGCTGGACTCTGTTAGGGTGTATATATACTGTGTATTGTTGATGAGTCGGTTGTTTGCAGGTGTGTAGTTTGTACTTCAGTGTAAAGTGAACTTGTCGCTAACAGTCAATGGTGTTCGACGATGCATGCGATTTTTTGCTACAAGCGTGTGTGGTCAGCGAAATACCATTTTGTCCTGTTCTATAGCTTCTCGTGTACGTATTCTAGGTGAAACAAGTGGAGGAGTACATGGCGTACCGCAAGCTGCCTCGAGAGATGCGTCAACGGATCACGGAGTACTTCGAGCACCGCTACCAGGGCAAGTTCTTCGACGAGGAACTGATCCTTGGCGAGCTGAGCGAGAAGCTGCGGGAGGACGTCATCAACTACAATTGCCGATCACTCGTCGCCTCTGTGCCATTCTTCGCCAACGCCGACTCTAACTTCGTGTCCGACGTTGTGACCAAACTACGTTACGAAGTCTTCCAACCTGGTAAGATATTACTTGTATTACAAGATTCTGTTTGTCCCTTTATTGCATTATTTTACGAGCAGTAAATCTCCTTCCCCAATATATACTAATATTATAAAGAGGTAAAATTTGTAAGTTTGTATATTTATAAGTTTGGATGTAGGGGGTAATCTTTGGAACCGCTGGTCGGATTGTCAAAATCTTTTACTGATAGATAGCTACAATGTTCCTGAGTGCTATAGGCTACAAAATATCACGCTACAATCAAATAGAGCCGAGTAGCGGGTGAAACCGTGCGAGAGTAGCTATGTCTTACTAAACCATAAATAGGTACTTTTGAAACGTCAAAATATAATAGTAGTCTGTCAATCTATTCGTCAATGAAGCTAGGTGCTCGTCGCATATACATAAGCAGTTTATGTAAGCAATAAGGACATGATCTATACTAGTAGTAATATTAAACTATGTACTGATATGATTTCAGGTGATATCATCATTAAGGAAGGAACCATCGGGAGCAAAATGTATTTCATACAAGAAGGCATCGTGGACATCGTCATGGCCAACGGTGAAGTGGCCACGAGTTTGTCAGACGGTTCCTACTTTGGTGAAATCTGTCTCCTAACGAACGCTCGTAGAGTGGCCTCCGTCCGCGCCGAGACGTACTGCAATTTATTCTCCCTGTCAGTGGACCACTTCAACGCTGTGCTCGACCAGTACCCGCTCATGCGACGGACCATGGAGAGCGTGGCGGCCGAACGACTAAACAAGATAGGGAAGAACCCCAACCTCGTGGCGCATCGGGAGGACGACACGACGTCGGAGGGCAACACCATCAACGCCGTGGTGAACGCGCTGGCGGCCGAGGCCGAGCACGTGAGCCTGTCGGACGACAGCGTGGCGCGGCTGTCGGAGCGCTCGCTGGGGCTGGCGCTGCAGCCGCTGCAGGCGGCGTCGTGCCGCATGGCGGGCGTGGCGCTGCCGGGGCTGGGCGTGGCGGGCGTGGCGCTGCCGCGGCCCAAGTCGGAGCACGACTTCAGCGCCGCGGCGCCGCTGTCGTCCGCGGCCGCCGCCTTCCACAAGTCGGACGCGGGCATCGCGCCCTGACGCCGCACGCTGTGCTAGTGCGACATAGCAATACTAGGCTTAGTGCGAGCGTCCCGCGGCACGCTCGCTAGTTGTAGCGTAGACACGAGTATTATAGCTGCGACTTCGCCGGGCGGACTCCGCGCCGCCCGTTGAATCTCATTTTGTGATCTTATACTTAATTCTCCTGTGTTATAATTTAGGTTAAATTTTATATCATTGACGCTGTGAGGAATCGAAGAATACGTGACGTATTCCGATTGTATAGATATACCTGTTATATATTGAAGAATAATACTATTGAATCTTTATAGAGATACCTTGCCATTAAAAGAGAAAATAATTATATAGACTAGACTGAAATGTAAAGATATCACTATTTTATGCTTTGTTGGCGTATGAAATAGACCTCTATTGTTGATGCGGAATATTCGATCGCGAAGTTAAGTATGAAAGTATATAAACGTTCCTGATTATCACGATTCAGAGATTATTATATTGGAAGCTGTTTATTGTAACGTTGGCTCGTGGGAGGGTACAGGTGGAGCCAGGCGAGGCACGAGGGCGCAGCCCCAGCGCTCAGGCCGGGCCTCCACTGCACAAGCGACGCACAACTGAACAGAGCCTCACGCGCGATTCCAATAGCACACGGTTGCTTTCTTCATTTAATTATAAGTAGTATCTACCGATAATCGGCATAATTAGCGCAAACAATTCTCTCAGTTTCTTAAGTAGAGGTGGATCAGTAGCGCTTCGAATCTTTTGAGAGTCGTTTCTGTATGTAAATATTGTAATATCGAGGGTTTGCCTTAGCGCGGTTCGTGTTCGTTCGAGCGGTCCAGTCAATTAATCCGAGCGCTCGCATTGCGCGACGGACGTCTCGGTTCTCGATGCACTACTACACTTCATACCTTGTTTTAATTGTAGGTGAAAATAATTTATTGTCGATAGTAATCATTTCGTAGGAGTAAGTAGGCCGGAGCGTTAACAAATTCGGACGAATTACATTATGTGATAGAGCAGCGGTCGGCTGCGCGGGCCCCGCGGCCGCCGGCTCGGCGACTCGTAGATGACCAGTAGATAGACAGTTACGTGCATGACACATGATTCTCTCACTTGGAACTTATCTATCGTTTGACTCCTTCGATAGCCACTTTAGTTACTTCTGGCAATTACAATGGCTTACTGCAAACGCTTATACATTTGAATAACTGTAGCCTAACTTAGGTATTATATTATAATGAGCAACATATCCTAGCGAGGCTCAGTCCGACTTAGTTTCTGTCGCCGAGCCGACGGCCGCGCCGGCGTCGCAACTTTTGGCACGAATCATCGTTGACTAATTCTTATAGTGTCATGACAATTTGTAAAGATGGTTTTGCAAATGTTGACTTTTTAGCCAAAATATAGGTAATGAAAGACGAACCAATACGCAGTAGCTTCCTTGTAGATGAACGCAGCCTAGTTCTCAGTTTTGGCGACTAACACCAATAATACTTTGTACTCGTAAGATATTTATACAATACATTGGTCTTAGCAGAGTGACTATCTGTCAATTTATCTACAAAGAGAATATATTATTGCGTTTCATTCCCAGAAGCATTTATTTGTTGTTGTTTTATCTACCTAACATTACCGCTTTTGTAAATTATATAAATTTTATAGAAGAGATCTATTTTTATTGTGAAGTTGATCTACTGGATGTAAGTAAAGAACCTATATAAAATTTATTTCATTTTAATCTGAACTGTTATTTGTTACATATTTTAATAATTTCTGGTAACTATTGTCACCAAAAGTGCTCATCGCTGTCAAGAAAATTAGTGAAAAAATGCATTAAAGAATGAAGAAATCCGCCCTGTTGTTTGAATTACTGACTTTATTTTACCCCAACATATGATCATCCCCATGTTTTTACTCTTAAACACAACACAACACTTGAGAATTAAAAAAATCGAAACTAAAAAAAGGTAGAATGTACGTGACGCACGAATCAAGTAAGTATATCAACGATGATATTGTGTACATAGGCATAGGTGGTCTATTGGCTATACATTTATGTATAAATATCTTACAATATACACCACAATATGTATACGCCACAGGCCCTATAAGGCCGATGTTCAGCCAGGATTGCTTAGAGCTAGCGCAATAATCAATTCAATAATAATAGCTCCGTGGACTCTGCCTAGAGCAGGAGTAAGAACGGGGGATTTTTAGTCAGTATGAGTCTGATACACCCTGGATGAGAGAAGTCATTTGATGATTTTCTCCCACAAAAAACAAGAAAGCCATTTATGTATGATATACCTGCGCGGGGAAGCTTGACCCAGTTATGTTATGAGTCTCAGAGTTTAGTAACCTTAGCCATAACAGAGGACGATTACGATTTGGTGCATAATGCCAAGCCGAAGTTCACTGACTCGACTAAAAACCTATTTTTCACCATCTTCGTAGATGCTGGTACCTACTCGCGTGCGTTCGTGCAGCGGAATGTTGTTGAATTTAAAGATTTTAATTATGCAGATATTTAGTGTATGTCGTCGTATAATTGTGTATGGTAAAAAAAAAATTGTGCACGCAACCATTGTGGAGAAATTCACCAAAAACTGATTCCGCTGGGCGAACGTTGTCCTGGCGGAACTTTTTTTAATCCATAGACTTTAGAAGAAAAGAGATGTATCCAATGTATCCAAAAATTAGTGTGTAATTGTGTATGTATGAATAAAACTACTGCATGCATAAACTTCGGAGAAATTCAAGTTTCCGCTACGCGAACGTTTGGCCATTAGCTAGTTTTCGTATAAAGCGTTTACATAGAGAGCTGTAGATTTTTACACACGTTGTTTTGAATTTGTTTATATTTGTTTAAAAAACAGTTTTAGAAAAAATCGTAGGGTTTAAAAGATAAAAATATAAACGTAAAATACGCTTATTAGGTCTTAGTTCTTAAAGTATGCACTTTGGGGTCTAGATTTTCACGTTTATACAAACCTTGTAAGTGTCTGCAACATGTTGCCAAGTATCAATGATGTTCCGTTAGTAATTAAATAGTTATAGGACAAATTTACCATGAATAGATCACTGTTTACAAAGCAGTCAAATATCACGATTTTCTAAATGAATTGCATGGTAAAATGTATGCCAATAATTAGTGTATTCATTCAACTATTCACATGCAAAATTTCATGTCATTAAATTCAGTAATTAAAGAAAAACAATTATAATAGGTACTGACGAAGCATCGAAAACCTACATAACGCGACCAAGTTCGGATGGCTACAAAAAAGCGGCTGTGCAATATATTTAGGTAACATCCCAAAATGTACAGTATAATACCGGTATTGAATTGGTACAGGTGATAACACACTTGTTGTTTCGAAATAATCATTTCTTTTTGGACACCTACTTTTTTAAATGTATTTGACTATGACAGAAAGTAGGTACTTACGTAGGTACTTTATTTAAGTATGCGCTTGAGACTTGAGATATAATCTAATTATATTTAAGACAAATAAAATTCATACAGCTAATTTCTATTGAAGATTTCACGGATCAGGATTCTAACTATAGACCCCTTAGGGAAATTAAATATTTACCACATGTATCTAAGTATGTAGGTACTACTGTTTAGGTAAATATTTATCATATTGTAGCTTATTACACTATCTAACCAATAGTTTTTATTACACTATTTAACCAATAGACTAGGCATGCACGAGCGTGTGTACGATACTGTGTTTTATTTTTTCCTAACGCTTGTGAACGATACTGTACCATATTAATAAATGCTATATTGGAAAGTTAAGAACGTTTCTTAGATATATGGCACGGCCGCTTTTTGTAGCCATCCGAACTTGGTCGGGTTATGTAGGTTTTCGATGCTTCGTCAGTATTATAATTGTTTTTCTTTAATTACTGAATTTAATAACATGAAATTTTGCTTGTGAATAGTTGAATGAATACACTAATTATTTGCATACATTTTACCATGCAATTCATTTAGAAAGTCGTGTTATTTGACTGCTTTGTAAACAGTGATCTATTCATGGTAAATTTGTCCTATAACTATTTAATTACTAACGGAACATCATTGATACTTGGCAACATGTTGCAGACACTTACAAGGTTTGTATAAACTTGTATAGACCCCAAAGTGCATACTTTAAGAGCTAAGACCTAATAAGCGTATTTTACGTTTATATTTTTATCTTTTAAACCCTACGATTTTTTCTAAATCTGTTTTTTAAACAAATATAAACAAATTCAAAACAACGTATGTAAAAATCTACAGCTCTCTATGTAAGCGCTTTATATGAAAACTAGCTAATGCCCAAACGTTCGCGTAGCGGAAACTTGAATTTCTCCGAAGTTTATGCATGCACTAGTTTTATTCATACATACACAATTACACACAAATACACACTAATTTTTGGATACATCTCTTTTCTTCTAAAATCTATGGATTAAAAAAAAGTTCCGCCAGGACAACGTTCGCCCAGCGGAATCAGTTTTTGGTGAATTTCTCCACAATGGTTGCGTGCACAATTTTTTTTTTTACCATACACAATTATACGACTTCATACACTAAATATCTGCATAATTAAAATCTTTAAATTCAACAACATTCCGCTGCACGAACGCACGCTACCTACTCGTTAACCTTATGTGGTGCAAGGCTACAATTACGCTCTATGCCTGTTTAAATTTACGTGGTGCACAGTGGCATTCGTCCAAGACTCAAAAATCTAACAATAACATATATAGAAGTAATGTTATAGATATTTTTTCAACACACTTCCTTATAAAGTGACTCTAATAACACGGCAATTAGACACGTAATGACACCTATAATCAAACTGCGACTGTTTCATTACTAGTATTCACAAATGAGTATTGAGAGTTATTTTTTTAAATTATTAGTTGAGTTACGCTTACACTTCCGCTAATATGTTACCCACAAAAAGCCTAAAAAAAGAAACATATTTTTTTAGTCAATGGTCGAAGCGGGCGCATATGAAAACTGATCATTTTTCCGGCTATTATGAAACATTTTTCACAACTCGTCTCGTTTTCTCTTTTGAAGTTTTTTATTTAAGTATTATTTTATTCAGAAGTGTGTTGAAGAACGTCGTATGATACACATGTTTATTAATGATTACTGCGGAGGCGTCTTAAGGAGCCGGGGAGGTACACACTAACTATACATACTTATACCATAATGTACTATTACAAGAGTCGTATCGTCCATGAAATAAATAATAGAACTCCGAAGTACACCAGTTGCACTGTCCACATTAGTAAGCAGTCGGATCTTCCAGATAGCAATAGCTTCAAACCTCAATTGTCAAATATGTGGCCAGTTCACGTTGAAATAAATGGGGTTATTCATTTATGTAGACCAAAAATAAAGAATAAAAAGAGACCTAATAAAGAGCCCTGTGGTACGCCTATAGATATGCTAGCACCCAGAGAGTTTACTTAATTTATTCATACTATGGGCTGCTTATCCTGGATGGATGGTTTTAATAAATTGAGAGATGCCCATTGAATGCCGTAATGTTCCAACTTCAGCATCGACGTGTCAATGCAATCGAAAGCCTTCGACAGATCACAAAATATTCCTATAACATCCTGTGATTTTACCCAATAGGCGAAAACATGCCTATTTAGAGATACACCGGCGTCAGATGTGCATCGTCGCTTGATGAACTCGTAATGTTGATCATAAAGGATAGAATTCATGTTAAAATGTCGCAACACCTGAGAAAGCATCAGTTTTTCAAATGCCTTACTAAGCACTGGTAAAATAGAGACCGAACGATGATATAATGATTGGATTCTGCATTATCGCCTGCTTTAAAGAACGAAACTGCTTTAGTATACTTCATCAAACTTGGAGAAAACTCCCTGATCTTCTCCATCACTTTGATTATCAATTAAAGGTAAATAAGGCGCTATAGATTTTATAAAAAACTTACACACGACAACGGTCATTCTCCATAGATCCTCTACTAACTTAACTTTAATGTCTTTGACCGCTTTATTGCACTGGGTTTGTGTACTGAAATACAAAATCAGAACTGCACTTTCTGACATTTTGAGAACGGCGACAAAAAGTGGACTGGGCTGGAGATGATTCTTGAACTTTTGTAGTTTTCATTGGTCATTTTTTTAAAAGCTTTCGAAGTCTTGGGCTACTTTCCGATTTGCAAAACGCGTCCATCCAATAATAATTTAAATTAAATCCGTATATGTAACTTATTTCTGCCTGTCTCGTTATTACTATTTTCCAAGTAGCTTTTGTTTTGTTTTCCTCTGTTATCCACTCCAGTTTATATCCCTAATTTTAAACCTAGTTCAGTTCAGCTTAGTTCCGTTTACGATATCCTAATAATTTTGGGATACAATTAGAAAAAACATTTTTCTTAATAGTTATATTGCCGAGACTTCTAGCCGAGCCAGTACCTACCTGGCTGTTTGTTCATTTTGGGAATAAATTACTTCAAAAGCTGGCAATACCAGCTTAAATGTCACTGTCAAATTAACGCACGAGCAGCTGCCATACCATTCTGCCAATCTGCCATCTCTGTCTGCAGTTCAATATTTTGATCGTGCATGCATGGTGCTTGTTATGGCTCGTAAAATATATATTTTGTAGTTTTATACAGCTGTAAATATTTGTTAAGTGTAAAATATTGAGAAAAGAACGTATGCAATAATATATGTATAAACACGGTATACCTGTATATACTTATACATTTGTTGAGTGAATACTAATTACCAAAATGTCTACAAGACGAGCGAGAATCAAAGCTGTTGCCTCTTTACCGCCTCGAAGGAAGAATAACGACGCAGACAAGGCTAAGGAACTTGTAAAGGAAGCATCTGAAAAGCCGATTAAAAGCCCCAGAACACCACGCGGTTCTATAAAAAGTCAAGAGAGCATTGACAGGCAATCGCCGAAACCTGGATCTCCGTTGAAGTCGCCGCGTTCAGTAAATGTTTTAAAACAACAGGAACGAGTGCCATCGCCTCTAGTTCAACCTGAAGTAACAAAAGATGCAGGTCTTACGCCAAAGAAGGGGGGAAAAGTGCCTGTAATCACGAGTGTAAACAGTGCCAAATCAAGTGTTTTTGTGTCACCTAAAAGAGTAGCCAGTCCTTTTAGGAAGCTTACTCCGTCTCCTCTGGTCCATACCTCGGTTAGTGTACAAAGAATAACTCCAGTGACTCCTGAGAAAGTTGCTGAGAAAAAGGATGATGGGAATAAAACTGTGGAGAGTAATACCAGCAGTAGAAGTAAAAGAGGTAGCAAGGATGCAAGTACCTCTAATGCTGCATCTGATGTTCCAGATGGTAAGTAGTAAATTGTTTTTTTTATTTATGCTGTGGCAGCTATAGTTGCTTTTTATACTGGCTGCTATTTTTTGTACCCTGTTCGTGATTGACCTGTTTTATGAGTCTATTGTATTTCGGTAAATGAGTATACACTTTACCAATTGATTGTAGTGTTATGAAACACAATAGACGATACATATAGTTTCACATGAATCAATGTTCCAACATACAATGGGTGAAGGGCTTCCTTTTAAATAGAAAATTAGATTTATCATGATAAAAATCTTTGCTACCCAAGCATTCTAAAATAATACTTCTTACAAACAAGATATTATCAAAAATTATACTTATTTTTAAATGGAATACAATTATTAAATGTTTTGTAGTAATTATATAATAGTTAAGTTTATTAACAGCCTAACTTGTTCCACAATTTTATTAATTATCTGGTAAATAGAATTTTTTCTATTTTATGACTTATCTTCATATAACATAAACAACTTCTTCAGGCAGTCTTAAAGCAATCTCTTACTTTGGGTTATATAGAGAATGTACAGTAGATTCAATAAAGTCCTACTTCCTACTTTTTAAATGGTCGGCAACACACTTGTGACTCCTTATTATGTCTATAAGCAGTACTTAATGCTTACCATGAAGTAATCTGAATACTTGTTTGCCATCTTATCACATGAAAAAAATGTAGATTATTTTTAACAAAGTTTGATTATAATATGCAACCTTTATATTATATACATAGATACTATGGCAGACAGATCAGCTGATCAATCTTCTAGGCACATTCCTATTTGTCTCATCTAATAAGAAAATGATAAATGTAAAAAGATGCAGACCTCATTTCACAGCTAAGTGCCACATCACATGTATTCCCCTAGTCATTTTTACAATCGATTCAAGGTCAATTGGTTGAGGCAACTGAGTGCTATATCATTCTATAAAAGCTAATATTGATTTAATAATAATCAGGTAGATCAGTCCACTGCAGTGTTCAGATAAGAATGACATAGATGTACACACAGTGATGTAACTATGTAATACAAAATTGTTTTCTCTGTCCTATCCCTATGTATGTATGTATTTATATATAATAAAACAATTATTTAAACAACAAAAATAAAAACAACTGAGAATATTGATAGAACAAAACAAAGTCGCATTCCCTATACTATGTTTAACTAAAAATCGCGGGTTACTCAAGTGTAAATATTGAGAAAAGCTCTACTAGTTTCGAACCACAGAGGGGTTCTTCCTCATGAGCAGCGTGCGCGGACGCGGCGACGTCGCGCAGCCTACTGTGGTTCGAAGCTAGTAGTATGTCTCACGATAGTTATTATAAAAAAATATACTATGTTTGCTTAAATCTTTAAAATCATGTGGTTTTGATGTGGGTTTCTTTAATAAATAATGTGATTGACGAGGAAATGTTTTATGTATAATAACATCCATTAAATAATGGATGAATTTAGTGTTAGCATTGCACTCATACAAAGTCGGGTGGTTTGCTAATAGGTAATAAATAATTCTATTCATGTATTCCAGACTACAATGTTCCAAGTGTACCTGAAAGTATTACTGACGACACAGTTATGGATGGCATTGTGCCCCTCCAAGCATTCTCCAGTGGTCCCAAACCGCTAGCCCTCTTGAAGAACGAGATTATATCTGAAAATGCAGAAGTTTTGTTTGACCCTATTGTGCCTTTGCCATCACCGAGCAAAGTACGGCAGAAACTTCGTCCAGTGCCCAGATTAGCACCTTTAAGAAGAAATAGTGTGCAGGTATTGTTATAAAGTTTTTGTCTGCGGTTTTGCCTGTGTGGCTGTATAACAATGCCTTAACATGCATATCAAATATCAAGAATATTTCTTGACAACAGAAAGGGTGATGAGGTAACAAACAAAATTACTGTTTTTACATTTATAATAGTTGTTGGGATTCCAATGTTTGAACAGTTGTACACTCCAGTTCCAGTGACATCTTACTTCAATCTGTTTTCCTTCATTACACTTTCAACTTTACTGTTTTGTTATAAAGTTGAAATCCTATCGCAAATATTAAGCAATGTAACAGTACCACCATATTGCAATTAAGCCATAATTGTTATCAAGTACAACGATAGGAATGAACAAATTAATTATAATCTTTTGTAAAAAGTTTACCTTATTTGTTGTAACAATTACTGACATGTCTATCAGTATCGGTTTTGATTCCCGACTAAAATGGGTTTAAGTTTTATTTTCGTTATGACCTATTTTGGGGTCGGACGAAACTGCGAAAGCAAACATAAGAACCATTGTTTTTATGTATTAGAATTATTAGCTAGAGTCTAGAAAGGCAGATGTGGTAGTAAAAATGTTACTCATGATGTTTTTCAGGGTAGTGCATCAGAATCGGAAGATGAGAGCCGTCGGGCGTTGCTAAGCAGTGGTGGCACTACCACCCCGGCGCCACCGTCACGTCAGCGGGAACGCAGTGATACCCACACACCACACACTGCGCCTACACCTAACAAGTAAATATCAAACGAAATTATACTTTCAACTCCAGATTTCAAAGTCCTTTTCCGACTGTGAAGGTATTTGTTTTGTGTATAGCTGAGCAAGTTCAGATCAGAATAAAAATCCAAATACGTTCATGTATAATTCTCCAACAAGAACATCATTCCATAGTTTTGCTGTGCGGAGCTGAAAGTTTCGCATAAATCGCACAATTGTTGAGTGCCAATCTAAGTGATGGTATAAAAACATTCACGCGTCGAACAATGGCGAAAAGATACGGCAGGGATCAAACCAAATAATACCTCAGCTCTGAAAAAAGTTTTATTTATGACTATCGGGATACTAGAGAAAATTCTTATTTTAGGCAATTTATTTAAAATAAAATGTTTTAAGGATTTTTAAATTTGTTTCAGGGAATTGAACCGCATCAGAAATGATTCTGTGTGCTCCTCTGTCAGCCAGCTTACGAATGCTACGCAGCCACCGACCGCAACTTCACCAGTCAAAGAAAAACAAGTCGCCAAGTTAGTAATCATATTTACTTAGTACTATGAACTATCGTTTTGGTGCTTAACTAAAGGTAAGCAATCTTGGTATGTCTGTAAAATAAAGAGGTTGTATCAAATACATGACAAAGGCTAAATAAATTTAGTTTATTAGCTAACAGTGATTGTAAATACATATTTTTACATACGACTTTTTAATAAAAAGACATTATTAAGACATAGTTTAGATACATTTACTGAATTGCTTATACCGGTGATAGACCATAGGTGTAATATAAGTTGACATTTTAGTATATTTTATTTATTTATTTTATTTCAAGTCACTACAAGATTAATTCGTCTTTTCACTCCACTCTCTCACTTTAATTTACGGGTATACCGGGAACGTCTTTACCGGGGAGTTCTACATAAACTTCTTCCGTCCCGGATTTCCCGTCGTCGATGCATAATACTTAGACTTTTTACCAGTGCCACAAAAAAGTGCAATGTGAGCGCGGAACGTCATAGACGCTCACTCATACGATCGATCACCTTAACGTAAAGCAAACTGTAACCTAATTACAAATACTAGGCACTCACTAACTAGTAAAACCACTAGTGTCTTATCTAACTCTTAAAAGTAGGTAAATATTACTTACAGATAATCCTTGGCACATATGACTATGCTGGAAACATTTCCAATTACATACATAGAATTAATTGCTTTTATGAAATGTTTAGGCTCTCTGTGAATAAAAGATGTTTTTATTGTTTATGGTGCTCCAGCCGATTCTTGGTTTTTTTGGAACTAGTATCAAAATTTGCTTGTGGTCTCCCATGAAAAGAAATAGATTGTGAACACTTGGTGATCATATCTACAATAATATCTTCATTTAGCCTTTCTTCGTAAGAACATAGAAACAAGTCCAACTCTATTTGCTTCTGTTCCCATTTTTCACAATTTTTTATGCATTCATTCTTCACAAAAGTTGTTAAGCTTCTTCTCTAAGGACTGCGTGCGTACGTAATGTTGACTTGACAAAATCAATAATTTAAGTTATTCGCCCTTTAGCCGAAATTGAACAACATAATTCCTCAAACAACGATTTTCGTTGCAAACCACAATAAGCTATACGAAAAAAATAATTTGTGCAAATAAACGCAAAATATGTCAACATGTACCAATTTTTTTTGAAGACGGCAAACAATCGTACGTAATACCTGATGGTAAGCAATCAGCGCCGCCCATACACACCCGCAACAACAGAGGAGTAACGAGTGCGTTGCCGACTTTTTGGAGATTAAGAATAAGGAGATTTAGGGATTGGGGGAGGGGAAGGATGGAGGCGCCTCCTGTAACCTCACTCACGCGGCGAAACACAACAGATACACATAATTTATAACAATAACAATATTAATATCTGACTAATTATTTTGTCCACCTAGATCGACGAAATCGTATACGGTGCGTCGCATGGCGGCGATGCGCCGGCGCCGCGAAGCTGTCAAAAAGGACACGCTGACTATGTACGACCTCATCTTCTACAATCCCACCACCAACCCCATCGTGTGAGTATCAATATGTGGGGGGAAAATTATCAAATGACTTCTCCCGCCCAGGGTAGAGTGGAAGGAAATGACAATGTGCCACATAAGTAAATCTTGAACGTATATGAAGGTAGTGAAATAAGCAGTAAACCACTTAATTGGGTAGTTTCCTTGATCAACAGGAAATTGATTAGATGTGTCAATACTATAACATATTGAAAAATAACTACACTTTTATTCATCAATCGATCGATACACTAAATTTTAGATATTTTGTACCTATTTATTAAGAAATAAGTTAGCTATTTGACGCAACAATACTATGACGTCACAACTCAGGTTTTCATACAAATTTCATAGAAAAGTATCGTTTTTGACATTTGGATAAAAGTATTGAATTTGATTAGTTGGAAACTACCGTATTCTATCCAAACATTCAATATCGCCTAACAGCCCAGATGAAGATGAAATAGAAGTAAACAAAGCGAATGAGAAAGAGGAAGCAGCTCGCAAGGCCAAGCAGACGGAGGACAAGGAGGAAGAGGAACCGGAGCAAGATGCTGCACCCGTGCCACAGATTAAACTCGGACCCAACGGGGAGATCATGCTGGATGAACAGAGTCTGGTGAGATTTACGTTTAATGCTTATTATGGAAATGCAATCACAAATGTCGTGGTGGTTCGGAGTCACTAAATTAAAATGCATGACGGTACGGGTCCGAAGCCTGGCAACTATCAATATGACTCTTCCCGAGTTATATGTTCTCTAAATGCCATTGCCATATGGTGGAGGAAATTAGAAAGGTAGGAAAGGTAATTAGGAAAATATGTAAACTTAATAAAAAAAAAATAAAAAAAATATCTAGTCTAAATGCAGACTAGTAAAAATATGGAGTAATAACTCCATTTAATTGTAGAAAATGTTGTTTCGGAATAATAATAATAATCTTACTTTATTGTGTTACGGGATTTAACGCGCACGTACCTTTTATTGGTTTTTTGCTTACCTTACTCGTATTACCATCGAGGGTAGATGAAAATAAATCACCTTCATCGACGGAGTAGTATCGCCGAACCTGCTTTTGACCATAGCCGGTTTAACCCTGCCGAAACGTCAAATAAAAGGTGCGCGTGAAATCCCGTAACACAGAATAAAGTATTAATATGCAACACAAAATTTTAAAGTGTAAAATAACAATCATTATTTTTACTTCCAGGTTATAAAACAGTCGCAGAAACGAAAGGTATCGCAGAATGTAGTACACGAAGGCGCGTGGAGTACGGGCAGTAGTAGCGGTCGGTACCGCCGCACGCCCCGCACTGCGGACTGGAGCGACGCAGAAACGGTTCGCTTCTATCGAGCCCTCGCCGCCATGGGAACTGACTTCATGCTCATGGAAAGACTCTTCCCTGGTCGTACGAGACGAGATCTTAAACTTAAAGTAAGTACTTTATTACGTCATTTTAGGTAAAAACCAGGGATTTTATGGATATGAAATTTCGGATAGGAATTGAACACGAATATAGGAATGATTATTATATTGGATACGATATGAAATTATTTCGAATTATCCATTAATTTTGGATAATTGTAAATAAGGATTGGGAAGGGATAGGGAGGGGAGGAATTGGGCCTCCGGTAACCGGTTACACGGCGGAATACCACGTTGTGGTTGTTTCACGCCGGTTTTCTGTCGAATTCATTCGTGCCGAAGCTTGGCTTTCCCACACTAGTTCGATACGACCGTAATACCTTTCTATTCCCCAGTTCAAGAAAGAGGAACGTATGAACATGGCGCAAGTGGACAAGGCGCTCCGTACTACAGTGAAATGGGACGCCAGCCGCTTGGAGGACGAGTTCCAAGCCGAACGCAAGGAGGCTGAAATACGCGCCGCCAGAGACAAGGAAGAGCTGAACAAACGTACCAAAGAGAACGAACAACGACGCCGAGAGGCCCGCGACCTTCGGATACGAATGAGTCAGTATTGTTCTTATTCCTTGTAAATAGTTTAATACACATTTTGTCCTTTTGCTGAAATTATGATTGATAAAGTAGCGCTTGAACAGCGTATCGAAGTTTCGATTCCTGCACGGAACTACTAACAAATTGATATTCACATTTTGATGGTATCTTAGTAATTCACCATCAATCACCCTTAGTAACAGTTACCGATAAATACATAGTTCATATTCAAATTTATCTTTTGCGTAGCGGCTATTTAGATATTGTCAGACTGGCCCTTAAAGTCTTGGATCACATTAATGAGTATTCCATTCTGCAGTCGAAACTTTGAGACAATACGGAATAGTCATTTACAACATACACTGATAATTTTGCTCCTTCCTAACATTTATTACCTGCTTTAACACATGGGGCCACGCTAGCGGAGGATTATCGCTCAACATATATGTATTGTCGGCAGTCAATGACTTAACCTCATTAGCATCCGAGCTGGAATTCTCGACAGTGATTACGCGAGAAATCTGTTACTTAGTTCTAAATTCAATCATTAATTTATTTTCAACCTTATTATAAAAGAATGAAGTCGAAAACTATGAAACAACTTTGCTTTTGCAAAGCCAAGACTACCAATGCCATGACTGCCAATGCCAAGACTGCCAGACAAGTTTGAATAATAACTCTTGGATTGTTGGATTGGATCCCCAACCAACCGCTACCAAAAACAAATCCTCATTGAAATCCTGCTTTCATCCATTCTCTAAATTTAAAATTCAAAATTCGTATCACAGTGTTAATTCAATAATAAATCTTAATATTTGACCAAAAATCTTGCATGCAGAAGTTGGTGATTTGGATGAAGGTGAGCTTGCATGATAATTACAAAACGAATTGTATTATACACCGATAATACACCTAATATTACCAGAAAGATCTCCTTTGTCATACCGTATCAGATTGTCCATATTTTCGGAATCGGAATAGCTAACTACAAATTTTAATTTTATGTTTTTGGGATTTTTACAACTACGTGTTTTCACCTACTATGATTTACATATATTAAAATTTATGTAATAAAAAATGAATGGTGTACTCCAATATTATAAGTTGGGATATTTATAATTTTCTGTCAATAGTGGTGTAGTTTATTAGTCGTGTGAAATTCATAACTTGTGGCAATTAACTGGGCAGCAATCCTATACTCTTTAATTTTGCTGTGAATTTCTTAAAATCGAATAAAGAAAGAACTTGATCAAGTGAACCAATGTTTTGCGTACTCCTTAAATGCAAGCACATGTCAGCAACTCTTGTCTATCTTGTAGGTGTAATCTGTTTTACCACTTTCCTAAACAAAAAGTTTCAGTTTTTTAAACTATTCTTCAACAGGTCAAAGCACAAAAGCATTGGAGTCTTCAATATTCCCCGAGACTACTGCCAACCTCACAGCAGACGAAGTTATCCTTCGTCACCACGAGGCGAAAGAAAAAGCAAAAGAGGCGAAAGGTAAGAGAGGGCGACCTCGACTGGACAGTCCTTCAAGGAAAAAGTTATGTTCTCAAGAACCTCAACGAGTTGACGTCACACCTTCACAACCACCCTCCGATATGGCAACACTCACGAAAATAGACCCTAAGTCTATGGGCAAAACGCCCGACAAGTCAACTCCTTCACCGGTAGTGCCTTCGAATATAGAAAATGGTTCCCTAGTCGTGCTCACGGTCAATGACCCTAAATCGCCTTCGAAGAAAATGTTACAAACGTACATAGCGAGTGGAGGGGGCCGGCTGACTCCTGTCGCGTTACCGACCTCCTTGCTCAACTCTGTAGTAACGTTTATGAAAAAGGGAGGTACGCCTAAGAGTGTGTCTGCGGCTTCCTCTCCTCATTTGACTTCTCCAAGCAGTGTAGCAAGTCAGGACAGTCGACCCTGCTCTACTCCAGGGGTCATTGTGAATGCCAGTCCGGCTAAAAGACAACGACATAGTTCGTACACTATAACGCAGCTTTAAGCTATGTAGTACAGTACCTTATGATACAATTGTCATTATTAGCGTGCCCAATTGGAACAAATGTCTCGAATCTCATGACAAATAGAAAATACTGTCTCGAAGATTACAAGGGAAGGTTAGTTAGCAATATTTCTTGATGGGCTATTCTCAATAGTCTGTCCGTAGATTTCACGAGTACAGATATACATTTGACGCAAGTTTCATACGTAATAGGCTGAAATTAATTTCCAATTATAAACATAGATTGTTATCGTTAAGATGTTATGGATCAATTTCGGCCGAATTTTGTCAAAATCATCGGCAGATTGCTTATTGAGTATAACCAACATTGGCTCTTCCAACATATAAATGAAAGAGACAGCACCATATAAAGTATACCCATCTCTTTCGGCCTGCGTTCCGACCAGTTTTCCTATCTAGATTTGCTTACCATAGTTAGAATTAACGCATATAAGCGCCATGCGCCATATAAAATGTATAAGAATCAATATTTAATAACCAGATCTACAGAACTAGCTTATAGTAAATATCATACGGTACTGTAACTAACAAAACATATTTTAATATAATCTATTGTTATAATGTAAGCGAATTGTTGTAAACGCCAAAAGCAATAAATCATGTCCAAACAATTTTTAATACGCTAGTACTCTCTATAGTCTATAGTAACTGCCTGATCGCTAAATACTGATTCGTATCACAAATGTTGTAATTAGAATTAATATTTAAAAGACAAAAATGAAATTTAAAATACGGGACAAAATATAAGAAAAATGGCTACGTATATTAAAGACGCAGTTGTAAATAATGTCAACAGTCATACTAAAGATCGATTCACAGAGCGAAGTATTTTTCACTTTATTATAAATATCTGCGTGACATGATAAGTATGTCACTCTGTATTTTGATAAGAGAAATCGAGTTTTTGAATAAGCATGAATCAAGTGGCTATAAAAAAGTAAGCGTCAATTCATACCGGTGCAGACTCGTAGCACTAATCCGACCAAATCGTGCACATTTTCCCGCGTTTTTATATCTTACGGAGCACTTCTGAATCGATGCCAAATAAAAAAACGACCTCATCAAAAAATCTCTTAAGATTGTCCCGCCTTTTGAATTCAAGCAAAATTTATGTGGATTAGCTTTAGCGTTAAAAGTCAAGTTTGCTAGATATAGTTCGTTCTCCTTTTTACGAAACCTAGAGTGGTATCTGGCTTCATCCATAGGTGTACCATTATCCATTCCATCATCGATAAGTATGAAATGATTTTCAAACAATGACAATGTTTGTTTGTTTTTTATTTCTTGTATCGTTGACGTATTTAAATTACAAAATGAGGGCTCTCGCTATTCGGTCACCACATGGCGTTGACATAATAGCAAAAGATCCGTTTGTTCATTCACTAACACCCGGTTTCTGAAAGGCTTGTCAAGGCCTTTCGGAAACCGGGTGTAAGAAACTAACCCCCGGTTTCCGAAAGGCCGATCAATGTTAAAATCAATTTAATCTCTTGTCAAGTCATCTGATTGGTTGACTGAATTATCAACAACCAATCAGGTGACTTGACAAGAGATTTAACAGGAGATTAGTTATTTTAGCGTTGACAAGCCTTTCAGAAATCGGGCGTTAACACATTCAGTGCCCCCGACGCGTTTGTGCGTTTCCTCGCACGCACATACGCGTCGGGGGCACTGAATGTGTTAATTGATAGTTTTGACAGTTGCTAATTTCTCATATTGGAACATGAGCGCCATCTGGTGGACAGAAGTATAACTCATATTATAAAACGTTGTTCCCCGTTTTTTTTGGACTTTTTATTTATAACGCCGATTTCAAATCGGTTGTAATACCGACCGGTACCGGCTAAGTCTTGTGGAACCTTTACACAAGGCAAGTGGCGTCTAGGTTTTTTAATAACGGAAAACAAATCTCACTATGTAATTAATAAGTTTATTGTATAAATTTTATATATTTATTGTATCTATATTATATTAGAAGTTCTAGAATTAAGGGTTTTAATTTATTTTTCTGTAAAAGGGCTGATTTTTGAATAGTCACGTAAATGTTATCTGAGGAATAAAATTGTTGCTGTCACTGTCTTATACAAACATTCTGACGCGACAGCATCATAATTATTCCCCAGATAACTTTTATCTAACTATTGAAAAATCAGCCTTAAATGTATTTTATGTTTTATTTAGTTGAAACATTCCTACAATGTCCCTTCTTCAAGCTTATTACATTTGAACTGAAGATGGCACTTCGATAATTTTTGAAAGCTGACGTAGTATGAGCAGATGATCAGAGCCTACCTACTTGCTTGAAATATTCATAAACCAACATTTTTCACAACACAATAATGGTCATTAGTCTTCATTCCAAAGTCTTTTAATATTAGACCTAAAACTAAGTGCCATCTTCACTCTTTTCCACTTTCTCTCCTGTTCCGGTAGTTTTTAAAGAATAGTTCAAAAGAAAAGAGATTACACTTTGTATATTAGAGTTTTTACATAGAAATAAAATGTAATGTGATACATTTCAATATTTTAATTAATTGAACTTGTTATCCGATCTCAGATGTTTTTATACAAAATATAAATAAAGCTTTTAATGCGTATTTTGACTGTAAACGATATACACCAATAAAATCAACTTTGTGAAACTAATGCTAGTGTTAGCTACTGTTAATATATTGAAATTGTTAAGAGTATAGTGGCGTCTAGTTGTTTTATATACCAAATAAAGTAATGAGTTCTTCCAAACTTTGTTTAATTTTATTACTTAATTATTTTTCTTTTATTTATAAAATGATTTCCAATGGCTACAATTTACAATCTAAATTTTATTGCACAGCCGGTAATTATAGTGTCCGTTCCCCAGGCCAGATGTTGTCGACAATGGTCATTTGAATCTTATAGATAATTAGTTGTGCGGCTTCTGTAATTGTTGCGCACATTTTTAAATTTGTTGCGCTTATAGTTTTTTAATTATTTCACAAAAACATTTCCTGCTGGCGTAACGTTACCACAGCCAGACCTTTTTATTTCTAATGGGAATATTTAAATAAATATTAGCTATAAAATTAGTTGTCTAGATAAAGTAAATGTTGTGCCTTATTTTGTATTTGTTCTTTCTTCGGTTGCGAAGTTATTCGAGATTTTGCTGCGGTAACGTTTTTGGTTTTGCTAGATCTTTGAAATGGTTAAGCGGATTCTTATCATATTTTGTACACGACTTCCGAGGACTTAGTTTAAATTTGTTGTGCAATAACAAAACCAAAATAATGCATATTTTCAAGGTTTTTTCATTAAATAGAAAAACACTTCAATTGGCCCCAGCACTCTCAATAAGAAGTCTAAAGACTTACTTTAAACGTAATTTTAAAGCTTGTAACTGCCTTCAAATGTATGTGAAGTTTCATTAGTATCCCGTAAGTATTTAACAAGTTATGATAATATTCAGTTCTTCACGAGCACGGTCTTAATGTACGCGGTGTTATTTGGCCACTGGATTGGATATATGAACTGAATTATACGTCAATAATTAGTTGTTTAGATCAGCTGTATATCAGTAAAATTTCAGCTCAATACATTGGATAATTAATGAGATAATACTATGAAAGTCATTAGGAAGTGAATGACCGTGGTAAGCCGACCAAGTTTAGGCGGTTCCGAAAAAGCGAAAACGCAGAACATTATGGTACCTTCTAAAATATGTAGGATAGTGTTATAAATTTAGTACAGACATGTACAAAAGTTAAAAAAAAACATGATTATTCAAGATTTTTTATTGAAAGGTAAAATAATAATTTCAATTGAACTTTTACTTCCTTACAAAAACTTGTGTTGCTTAGCAACCGATTAAACATCACCCGTCCTTGTCATTTCTATTTCAAAATGCAGTTCAAAAATCATCTAAAAGGTTACAAAAGTAACCTTCTGGCAAGACTGAGTGCGTTATGCAAACAATGTATTACCCCTTCACCCCACTCCTCCTGCGTCCTACCGACCGGCATGCTCTAGCGGTGATTTTTGATAATTTTGTGGAACTGGAAGATAATGTTTTCTTTTGTATTATTATTATATAGGTATTAAACAGTGTACGCGTCTGTACCAAAATTGTAAGGTGTATTATACTAAACATTTCAAAAGATAGTACAATGTTCTGCGTTTTCGCTTTTTCGTAACCACCTAAACTTGGTCGGCTTACCACGGTCATTCACTTCCTAATGACTTTCATAGTATTATCTCATTAATTATCCAATGTATTGAGCTGAAATTTTACTGATATACAGCTGATCTAAACAACTAATTATTGACGTAACATTCAGTTCATATATCCAATCCAGTGGCCAAATAACACCGCGTGCATTAAGACCGTGCTCGTGAAGAACTGAATATCATCATAACTTGTTAAATACTTACGGGATACTAATGAAACTTCACATACATTTGAAGGCAGTTACAAGCTTTAAAATTACGTTTAAAGTAAGTCTTTAGACTTCTTATTGAGAGTGCTGGGGCCAATTGAAGTGTTTTTCTATTTAATGAAAAAACCTTGAAAATATGCATTATTTTGGTTTTGTTATTGCACAACAAATTTAAACTAAGTCCTCGGAAGTCGTGTACAAAATATGATAAGAATCCGCTTAACCATTTCAAAGATCTAGCAAAACCAAAAACGTTACCGCAGCAAAATCTCGAATAACTTCGCAACCGAAGAAAGAACAAATACAAAATAAGGCACAACATTTACTTTATCTAGACAACTAATTTTATAGCTAATATTTATTTAAATATTCCCATTAGAAATAAAAAGGTCTGGCTGTGGTAACGTTACGCCAGCAGGAAATGTTTTTGTGAAATAATTAAAAAACTATAAGCGCAACAAATTTAAAAATGTGCGCAACAATTACAGAAGCCGCACAACTAATTATCTATAAGATTCAAATGACCATTGTCGACAACATCTGGCCTGGGTAACGGACACGTAATTATATCTTTATGTTTATGCCCATGAAAGCGCACCTAAGGATAATCCCCTGTTGATAAAGGACTTTTCTGCTATTTGGTGGTATTGTGTGGGTAGCTATGAATTGGTAGGCATAATAACTGGAAATACTATGGTCTCTGCCTCTGACCAATATTACCTACCTATAAATATACCTACAGATGAGCCGGGAGCCAGTGACTGGCTAACTTGATTAATGGCAATCCTAATTTATCTCGACAAAGAGAGCCGTTGGTCATATCTCTTTACTTTCAGAGCCCCCTCAAACAGCTTCGGCCGGTATTGGAATATTTGGTGACCGACCGAACCAGTCAGTCAAATCATGAGATTAATGATAAGTTAGCCTCATAGAAGCTAGGTGAACTCAATAGATTGAGGCAGTTGGGCACTTTGGGGCATCGCCTGCTACTTTAAATGGCGCAAGTTTGGCCCCATATGAATACTGTGCTCAACTTTGGGTGTAGGCACTCTTGTAGGTACAAGGTTCTCTCTATGGAGGATTTATTTAGCAACAAATCATTCGAATCAATGATTGCCCTGTTATCATATCTTTGTCACTGCGTAGTGATGTAGCTTCGCTATGTGTATAGGACCACGGGGGTTTGATCTTCTATTCATATTTTTGCCATCATCTCACATTTTCATTCCCATAGAAACTCCCCCTCCCCCCGCGCCTCCGTGAATTCCCTAATCACCTAGATGTTTGGCAGACTATGCTATTTTCGTGAAACTTTATGCGTCACACAACGGAACGGTAGATTGATATTTCGGAACTGATACGTCCTTGAAGAAACGAGCATACTCTTAACAAGGCCGACAACGCGCCTATGACTAATCTGGTGTTGCAGGGCAGATCACTTACCATCAGGGGATCCGTCTGCCGTTTTGCCTTTTACAACCCATTACAGCAAGAAATTAATTATGAACGTGGCATGTCATCCCTCCACGAAAGGCCGCGGTATCATACATTTGTCACCACGCAACATTATATGCTGTGCCACACAAGTTTGTCCCCACCTATAGTAAAAGTATAAAACCGGTAGGCTATACGACACGTTATAGGTATATATTTCGGGCTTTACTTTTGAGTTCTTATAGCCACAAGCGTGGATTATATTTTTCATTAATAAAGAAATAATACAACAATAATTATTGTAATAAAAGTATTTATTTACAAAATATCCGCGTCACTTAAAACTAATGTTATAACTAATGCGCTTCCACTACCTCGTTGGGTAGCCACTGGGATTCTTCTAGCGTGTCCCAGAGCGATAACTCTGGATCCAAAAACTCTTGGTTTAGTAGGTCAACGTCGATAACTTTTTTATGCTCTGGAAAAACAATTTTAAATGATTGAATGTTTACGCATGAAGAGATTGATTGTAGATGAAATGAAGCGGAAGATGTAAGACAAAATCCATACCAATGGGAGACAAATGTTATATTAATGTATTGAACAAGTTTAAGGAAAATGCAAACTTCTTTACTGTGTTGTTAGGTTTAATGAAAAATAAAGCATGTAATTAGCATAAAAAAATGGTGTACTATCTTCAAAGTGACATGTAATTCAGTTATCAGATAAAACGGAGTGTTATATATAGTATTTTGATAAATATAATGCTAATTCATGTTGTTTATTTCAATATATCGTATAAAACAGCTATTCTTAAACATAAAGCTTATGAATAATGATTTATATTATTTTATAACACATTAATTTTTAGTGTAGATAGTCTTAAAATGCACATTTTATGATCAATCAGAGCTTTTTACAATGTTCGCGTAAGCACATAATGAGCGAGTCTATTCAAGCAAAACACTATTTAGCTATTACTAATAATTTTATTGTGAAAATATTCACTTATTAGATAAGTGCACCTATTAAACTGCCTAACATTTATAGTCGACTTATCAATATAAACAATATATAAATGTATGTGTGTAAGTAAACGCACATAAACAACTATAGAATAAAAATAGTTGACACTTGCCGTTGCCTCAAGTCGACCCTGTACTACACAAAGCATTAAATAAAAATAATGTTGCCTCATGCCCTGGGCTGGGATGCATTACTTTTTGAGATGTGACATTGAACGTTTTTATTGCCAATCATACCCATACAATAACTTACCAACTAGAGCTAGTTCGTCGGTCTGGGCCTTCACAGCGGTGACTTGAGAGGGGTCGACAACAGGCACGGTCTGCGGAGGCGCCGCACTCTGGTCTCCCTGCCCGTAGTAGCCAGACCACGCAGAATAATTCTGCCAGTATGCGGACGGATCATAGTATTGATTGTACTCCTATAAAGTGAAATAGCTTTATTATGTTCTATGATCTGACAGTGCATCCGTCAAGCCATAATCCACGGTCCGCTTTTCTATAACTCTTGTAGATGCAAGCTCCATCATAAGCAGATCTTGATGCTTCGTTTAGCTATAAGCGGCTGGCCTACAGATACTGTCAGTGTCGAAAAATTGAAATTATTGGCATCATTTTTCATGGACCATGCCATAAGTAAAGATTAGTAAGCTTGAAGCAGTAAAATATACTATCTCTCAATATAGTAGGCAGTATTAACACTTTGACATGCCAATAATCTCAATTTTATTGAACTAAGTACAATATCCTTGTTCATTCCAAGCAACAACGAATGATGCTGGAAAGCAAGCTTCAGGGAGCAAACATATTTACATGTCGTGAAACACCAGAACATGCCAGTCTATGCATTTAACAGCACGGAATACTATAATAATATACAAGTATATACCTGAGTACAAGCATGTAAGTATGCATAAGAAAGGTACAATACCGCCAACGTATCTTGGCGAGTCTGAAGTTAGCAGATTAGCTGCGCAGTACAGATTTTTTTTCTTGAAATATCCATTGCGCAGACAAACAGCTAACTTCAGACTCGCCAAGATACGTCGGCCGTACTGTATGAAACCGATATGCTACTGGCGCGTCACGACCTCTTATGACCCGTAAGTATGTGTGCTTTTACACTGAAATTTGAGAACACATCACAAGCTAAATTCGCACAAACCAGCATTCACATGCCTCTAGGGGTGTATTATGAGACACAGATACAGCAGTTACTATATTTACATGCTCCATACACATTTACTTAACTATGTTTGTTGTACTGTATTGATTATGAATACAAAAGTATTTATTTAGGAAAAAGCCTAGAGTTGCTTACTACGAAAACAACTATTATGCAATCATATTATCACTTATCTTGATAATGTGTAAAAAACATATTTATCCCTGCATATGAAGCACAAATTACACAATAATAATATGTATATCATAATACACCCAAGCATTTAATTTAAATGCATACCGCTCCATTGTTGAATGTTGAATTGGGAGTGGTTGGTGCAGACTGGTTCTGTGGAGTAGTTGTACATTTAGGTTTGGGTACAGCAGTACAAATCTTCAAAGGTTTTGAACCAAGCCCTGTGTAACCATTCATTGCATACAAAGCATTCCTTTGTTCCTCTTCATTTCCAAACCGCACAAAACCGTAACCTTTTGTATAACCTGAGCTGTCCAAGATTACTGAAACAAAAACCAATTGTTAAATTGAGTGTAGATTTTCGAGAACCGACACAAAAATATCAGAATTTAATTGATATTTAAAGAATATATCAAATAAACAATCTAATCTTACCTTTTGCGGTTTTAATAGAAGAATACTTTGAGGCGAAAATTCTGTACAGTGAGTAGTCATCAACATCAGGGCTAAGATCTCCAACCCACACAGAGAACTCTCTTTCTTGTTGCATGTTAGCACGAGCTTCCCTTGAGGCAGTGTTTAGGCGGAATCGCACCACTGGGAATGTACCTGGGATTGGTTTCCCGTTTAATTTATGCATGGCATCTATTGCCTCTTCATCTGTCTGTAAAGCAAATTTTGTCTTCTTAAAATACTTATTACAATATTGATTAGAGTCAAGTTAAAATAATTCAGCGTTGATGCATAAATAACACCCGGTTTCTCTAAAATTAACTAATCTCTTGTTAAATCTCTTGTCAAGTCATCTGATTGGTTGTTGATAATTCAGTCAACCTATCAGGTGTCTTAACAAGAGATTTAATTGATTTTAACATTGATCGGCCTTTCGGAAACCGGGTGTAAAAGTTAGAAACTCAATTCTTTTGATATTTTAATAACAATTCTGCAATTCAGTGGAAATTAGGTAAACAAATTATGCAATCCATTTTCCAGTTTTATATAAATGTAAGTTCAATATTTTGGAGGTTTTAAATGATACCTGAAAATGCACAAATGCATATCCAGCTGGTTCTCCAGTGAATTTGTTCCGCATTACTTTCACGGCCAATGGCCGCTGTCCCATTCTATTGAAGGCAGCCATGATGAAGCTCTCTGTCATGTTGGGCTCCAGCTATAAAAATATCATTGGATTATTTTATTATAAAATCTATATTACTAGATCTAAAGAGTTTTTTCTTTGAACATACTATATGCTGGTTTAAATAGAAAAATATTTTTGTGTTGAATTTATCGAAGATGGCAACAATAAAACCTCACTCTACAACCAATAAGGCTGCTATTAGCCAGCAGGTAAAACCGCATGGAAGTAGCTAGTAAAATACATGCCATGTATGAAATAGGATATGGAGGGACTCATAGAAGTATGACTTAGATAGGTACAATCTGCATCCTTTACTACACATTTCTGCATTTTGTTTAATCCATTTTATGTACAAAATCATTTTTGAAAGACCTGTTAATCAAGAGATAGTGCAATATTGAAGGCATAATTAATGGGTTAGCTAAAATTTATGTGATAATTTTATCATTATTAGGATTATGAAGTAAAAAAGTAAAACTATAATAACACGGCAACAAAAATACGCTTAGCTCTTTTCTTGTAAAAAAATTCGAGCTCGTTTATTAACTAGTCTTTCCATTTTTGTTCTTAAAGATGTACAATTACATCGATATTTGCAATAATACGCCGGTTGTATTGAAGATTGTTTAATACTTACACTGCCCATCCATAGTTGGCATTGCATCGCCATTTTGATGCTAACAATACGATGATATGTTACACTTTATTTTATTTCTCAAGTTTTACTACCATTGAACGTAAATCACTACTCTTACTACTTTTCAGAATATTTTTACTAATTTATTTTACACAAATAAGTACAGTCGACTCTGTCCGATCACTTTCAACCATAGAGCACACTAGTGTAAAGAACTTTTTTTTTTTGATCTGTCAACTGTCATGTTGCCCTTAGAGAAGGGTTTTTACCAATTCATTCATTCTTTAGTTTAGTCGATTATACAAGTTGTAAAGTTACGTTGTGGTTATGACTAAAGAAAAACGAAGGAAGTGTCCAAATGTATATGCCAAATATGTATTACATATTTGGACATTAAAATTAAAAAGGAGACTTTATAAAAACAAAACGCGTTTTTATGTGTTCTGTGAATGAATGCAGCGCATGCGCCGCAATTTGCAAAATGTATCTATGACGTGTGCTGGGAACTTGTCATCGTCGTACCAAAGCAAGGCAATCAAGACAAGTGGACACAAGATAAGGAAAGCATTGTCTTACATTATATAAAGTGTGAGCTATGCTCGAAAAAAATATGTGGTTTTAACTAAATTATTTACTAATTATAATAAGGAACTCTGCAAAATATCAAGGTATTTATAAACCTTAACATTTATTTGCCATTTTTCATTATCAGGTCAATAAAATCGCAGAAATGTCACGACTTGATAACATTGACGCTCTTGAAAAGCAATTAGCTGAGTTACAAATGGCTAAAGATTTAAATACTACTGGAAAGGTAAAAAAGATACCACCAGCCGTGCCACCAAAAAAGAAAGCTCAACCTCAAGTGCCACACAGTGCTGTAGTAAGCACTATATGTGAGCCATCATATTCAGCTATGATAATGCCACCTGCAAGTAACAATTTGACATACAGAAATCCACTTCCAGGCAACACACGGCCTCATATTCATAAAGACTACGCTAACGTTAATCAGCTGAATTTGTCATCATTTAACCATACGTATCGGCAAAACTTGCCTATGCCTCCTAAGGCTTATAATGCAACATACAGCAATGTACCACCATATAGAACCAATGATAACTTGCCTCCGGTGCCACCACCGCCACCGCCACCTCCTCCACCACCCTCAATTTCGATTTCTTCGTCGAAACCATATAACATGCCTCAACATAACGAAGAATATTTACCACCACCATCACCTGTCAGCTCTAACTACAGTGAATTAGTCAGAGCCACTGCAAACTTGAACTATAATCAAGAAAGGCCCAATTATCCACCTATCTATCAGAATGAGTTTTCTGAATATGGAGCATCACAATCTTCAACTTATGAATCACTTTATGAACCTATTAACCCACGCCCACATAGCAACTTGTCATCTCAGTCTAATTCACTGCACAACTATCGCAATAACTTGTCTAACACAAGTAAGTCACCACTTCACAAAGAAGAAGAGGTTGATGCACTTACTAATATGCTTGTGAAATCTATAACAGACAGTCAAGATTTAGATGTATTTGGAACATGTGTCAAATGCGACGGAAAAGTAATTGGTGAGAGTTCTGGATGTACTGCAATGGGAAACATGTATCATGTGACATGCTTCTGTTGTCATCGATGTAACGTAAATTTGCAAGGGAAGCCATTCTATGCTGTTGAAGGTCAACCTTACTGTGAAACTGATTACTACGAAACCTTAGAAAAATGCTCTGTTTGTGACATGCCGATTCTAGATAGAATTCTAAGAGCCACAGGGAAACCTTACCATCCCAACTGTTTCACTTGTGTTGTATGTGGGAAAAGCTTGGACGGAATACCATTTACTGTTGATGCAATGAATCAAATTCATTGTATTGAAGACTTCCATAAGAAATTTGCACCTCGTTGTTGTGTTTGCGAATTGCCTATCATGCCAGAAGAAGGAGAAGAAGAAACTGTAAGAGTGGTAGCATTGGATCGCAGCTTTCATGTGAGATGTTATAGATGTGAAGACTGCGGATTATTACTATCTTCAGAATCAGAAGGCAGAGGATGTTATCCTCTGGATGATCACATTCTTTGCCGAAATTGTAATGCACATCGTATCCGTCTCCTTACTAATGTTATGACTACTGATCTATAAGTTTGTGATATACTCGTATCTTTAACTTGAATGTTTTTCATGTACTCTAATTTTCGGTATGTACATAATGGTTTTTTCATACACATAACTAATCATGTAATTTATTTTAATCCTTTTTATTGAATGGTATATATTCAGAGCATTTCAATGTATCTTATTTAATTTTGGGAGCAAGAAGTTGTATTTAGTATTTGAGCTGGTAATCGTTTTAGTGGTACTTTTAGTACATGGTAGGAAGTTATTACTATTTATATTTTGAGCCATTGTATTGTATAAGAAGACTGTTATCAGAGTAATATTTGTCAATTTTATGGTAATGTTAGTGATAATGAAAAATATTTTAATTGGTTTTTAGTATATAGTACCATCATGTGATAATCGAGACAATATTGTTGAGTAATATCTTCTATTTATAAAGCATTATAAATGCGAAAAATAATATTTTTATTACTTAGTGTAGCTACATTTGTAATCTAGTGACAGCTTAATTTTTTATTTATTATAATAAATTATATTTTCTCTAAAGTGCGAATTATTTTAACATGTCATTAAATACACCCAAATATTTTAATCATTTTATTTTAAATTCATTGTGTTAACTATAAGTAACGTACCTAGAATACTGGCTTAACATAAAATACAAGGCAAGTTTTAGATATGTCATTTTCATAATTTGTAATCATTTCATACTTAAATATTATCACAAATTCAACTATACAAAACACAATCATACAATGACACAGTTACAGCAGATAAAATTTCGATTAATATCACAATATGGAAGACTATTTCTATAAAATATCATCAGTTGCATTTAAAACAATATTCTTATAAGCTAAAGTGTCTGTGCATAGACAGTGATGTAAACCAAAGGAATTTCTCTAAATTGTATAAAATGTAACTTAGTGGTAGTATAAAATGACTACACTCATTTTGAGATCTATGTTAACATTGACTTTCCTTCTGGTGATTAAATACAAAAATACTAGGAACTAATAGTCACCACATAATTTTATGCACGAACTTACACCTTATGTCGTAATTTTGTATTGAATTTTGGTGGGCTCAGAACTTGTTTCATGAATAATGATCGTTTTTCCTTAATATTTTTGGACATAATTAAGTCGCACCCCGCAGTGCTTGGCATAAATTCATTCGATTCAAATGACGAATTGTCGTAATTTTGCTTTCGGGGCATTGTCCTTACTTCTTGATCTACATCAAACTGATTTTTAACTTTTACAACGCTGGGATCTGTTTGGGGTTGACTAATTTCACATGACCTGTATAAAATTTCTTCGTCTGAATTTAAATTTATTCTAGGTTCAAATCGTTCTCTTAAAATAGAAAACTTTCGCCGAGGCTTGCTTCTCGCTCCCTTCTTAACATTCGATATTTTCGATGTAGAAGTGTTAACGACAGGCATCGCGCTATCTTTCTGTATCAGAGATTGTAATGATGTCGATATTTTATTTGATGAACAGTCTTCATTGGAATTACTGGGAACAGAGCTTTCTGAAACTAACTGCCATAAAAAGTCGATGTCTTTATTTGACAAATCGTGTTGATTTTGTTCAGGTTTAATATTGATTTTCTTGCTTTGCATTTTTATATTACTCGAGTTTGATTTTTGACGACGTCTTGTATTTTTATTGTAAACAGTAACAATTTCTCCAGTCGGAGAATCTGTGGATGTTGATGACACATTAGAAACATTAAGTTCTTTTTTTATCGTTTCAAATTTAGTTCTCTGTGCAATGCTCATACAGTTCTCTTTTTCTGGTAAGGATTCCATTATATTACTCGAGTCAAACTTAGATGGTTCTTTCCAAAGGGCTTGTTTTAAATCGATTTTTGTAGACGTGTTAAACTGAGGTGAATCCCATAAATGTTCTCGTCTATAATACAAATTGCGTGGAGAGTTCGTTGCAGTCGATTTACGAATTTCATCTATAGTTGCGACCAAAGAACTTTCAGAGTTCAATCTTTTCTTATTGGACGGATCAATATCTCCTAAGTCATCTAACTCTTCCATTATGGGTTCTAAATGGTTCGGATCTTTACTTACATCTGCCATACATGGCTTTGCTAAAAATGTATCATCATGTGAAACTAATGTATTTGCATAGTCGTCTTGATTTGTTCTATCAAATTTTACAAATACATTAGAGTACGTATGTGGTTTCTTAGGAAATGGTGGTGCAGCTAAAATTGCATTTTTTAGTTCTTGTGAAACACAGCTACTTATTTCAGAGCTACCTGATGTCAATGTGTCTCTTCTTCGATCTCTTACTACACTTCCATCGTGGAGCCAGTTCTCTATATCAGAATAACCATTCCAAGACCGGAGCCCCCAAGCTTCGCGGGCAATATTTACGGCACATATATTTTCATAATCATGAACGGATAAAATTTCGGTTGGTGTATCTAGCTCTCGTGGTTTCGATGGGAATAAATCTGTCCCTATTCCGATTTTGTTTTTATCCTTTTTAGCATACATTTCCTTGAGTATATCTAACGCTATCCTTTGTATGTTTTCAATATCTGCATCCTGATTTCCCACTTTTATATTTTTGAGAGCGCTCAAACATAATTTTTGAACAATGTTTTCATTAAAAGTGTTTATATCGGAACTATTAATATCACTAAAACTTAAATCTAAGTCCATATCAATAGAATCAGAAGATGTCTTCTTATTAGATCCATCTGTATCATGACTGATAACCGAACTATCTGTTTTTAACATTTTCATAAATTCTTCATTAACTAGATTGCAAACATCCAGGTTTGCATTAGTCAAATCATCTCTCAAAGCGTCAGAAGAACATATGCCTCTTCTTTTATGCAAATTTAAATTGCTCGATGTTATTTCATCTATTGAGCTTTCTAAATTCTCCATAGAACTAAGCTTTAATGCCAATTCTGTTGGAGAACAAATAGCTCTCTTTTTGTTATTCTTGTATTTATATTCCTCTTCTTGTATAACAGTTTGTGGAGTATTTTCAACGGTGTAAAATTCTATACTAGATGCTTCTAAACTATTATTCCCGATTGGCGCCGAAGTAAAAGTAGGTGTACCAGATCTCGCTATCCAATGTTCCAGTAAGAACTTTTTATCAGCATTTTCACTCTCTTGCCTTTGAGCTTGTTCTGTTGATACTTCTTTACTGTAAACGATATTATTGGATGAGTATTTTAAGAATATTTTCTTTCTACTTTCTTTTTTTATAAAAACATTGCCCCACACTAGGATGTTCTCCTGTGTCGTGGATGCATTTACATACATATAATTTCAAATACACATTACACCGAGACCCGGAACAACAATTTGTGGATCACACATAGAAATGTTCCGTGCGGGAATCGAGCCCGCGACCCGTTGCGCGGCAGGCGGTTCCCAGCCGCTGCACCAACCGTGCAGTCATAAAATATAGAATTTAATATATCAATTGTAAGCTTTTATTGCGATACATACCTAGAACTAGGATCTGATTCCTCGTTTTTGCGTGAGCTTTTAAATGATCGAACATGATTTAATCCACTTCCTTGATCTTTTTTATTGTTTGATTCTTGTACAGCTACTTTATTGTTCAATTCAATGTCGTCATTCTTCCACGAAATTGGTCCCGTTGAATGAAAATATCTATAATATAATATCATGGAGAGAATTCCTGAAAAGCATAAAAAACTAATTTAGTGGACAGATTCGTCTCTATCGTTGTAAAAGCATTATTTGGGTACAACTCACCAACTATTGTTCCAAATATTATACAGATGGCTGCAGCAATGGACCATGATTTCTTTTGTCGCTCAGTGTCGGAAATGAGTACATACAAAAACAAGCTTCCAAAATTTTGTGATATCATCAAAGTATAAAATAGCATCAAACGATATCGTGTGTGGCCTTCTCGTAAGTTTATGTAGCAAAAGCAATAAACAAACCCCATGACTACATTATAGAGAGTTTCTTCTAATTTATTCGGGCAGAATGTTGTTTTCTGTACCACAATCCAAAAGGTCATTGCAAACCAATGCAAACCTGCAAATAATAATAAACTATAGTAACGTGTAGAAGAGAATCTGAGTGTCTGAAAGTGAGTATCTAAAAATTAATGTTTACCTAATGGTATCAATGTCCATATTCCAAAAATTACAGCAAATAATAATATTCCTGGAATCCTTCCGATTAACATTCCAAAGTGCCATATGAGCTTGAGTAATATTGAATACCAACTAAAGTTCTCACTAGAAAATGCTGTAATACTGTAGATATACGTAGCGCAACCCCATATCACAGAGGCAATCGACGCTGTTAAAGCAAATACTGAAAAATAAATATTTCTATATTAATTATTTTCACGTAACTAAGTAATTCACGAAATCTTGATATGACATCCAAGTATAGTAGCTTACCTTTTGTATAGTAATTTTCATCTAAAGTTACAATAGCATAAGTTTGTAATATTATTTGTGGCACTGTTCCAATAAATATATACAAAAAATGTAGTAAACTCAAATCATTTCTTTGTGAGATTAATTTGTGAGTTTTAATAGATTCTAAATTTTTGCACACAAATACTTTACGAAGAAAGATAATATACCTGAAACAAAACCAGATATTAACAAAAACTTTAACACAGGTAACTGCCACAGAATGTTAGAAAAAAAAGACCTTTACCTTTCCAACAATCCGACCAGGCAAATATGAGTAATCCAATGACGTAAACTAGATTTTTGATCAGTTACAAACCACCTGATCGAAAATATATTTATAAGGATATTTGGAGTAACTATGAAAATGAATGTGCCAAACGCCCAGTAAAAATGGCCATCTTTACAATATTCGGCGAAAACAATAACATCTGTAAAAAGTAAACAATAAATACAATTTAATTAATTCGAACCGGTTTCATTTCAAATAATAACAGATGTATTTTAAGTATACTTAATATTATGAAAAAAAAGCTTATCTCACCAGTCGTCAAATCTGCTAATATTGTAACAAGTGATATAAATACACATAAAACATGTATTATACAAAAGTTTTCATCTTGATTGTTTGATGTTTTACTTTCTATGTTATGGTTTCCAAACCTACAAGACTCCGCCATTCTCCAATCTCAATATTTATTCATAAACACATATTGAAAACAAACAAATTAACTGCAATTTTATCCAGTTTGCCGACATAACTTTATTTCAGAATTAACCGTTGTTTTTGTTTATTGAAAATTGTATACCATCTAGTACAGTATAGGACGTCAGACTCGCTCAACAAACCAATACAATCAATAATAGTTCAATGTTGTAAGTCACAGCGCAGCGTGGGCTGCGCAAGCGCATTTAAGTATAGACATGTAAACTTAGATCCCTTTTGCAACAAAAGCTCAAAAGCTCTTGAAATCCTTCGCGCCTCCGTACAGATAATAAATACTACTTACGGCAAGGTTAATTAACCGCTCTTGTTGTAAATAAGTTTAAAATTTCAAATATGTAATTGCAAACTATTAATCGAAAAATTAGGGACTCAGTAGGTATTTTGAGTAATATTTTAATTTTATCCTTTTAAATTCTCGTATTTTTTGCTATATTGTCGTAAATTCATAACTCGACTAAACTTTTGAATGAATGATTTCAATAAATAATCTGTTGTAAAACTTTTAAATTGTCACGAAATAAATCAAAACAAAACGTGTTGTCAAAAATTAATCAAATCGGAAACTGTTTTGTTTTTGAAAGCGAACCGAATTTCCCATAATTAACATAATTAAATAAAATTTTTGTACATATCGACGTAACGAAAATTTGTGAACAGCTTTTCGTGTCCCTTTAATTATTGTGTAAAGTTTTATGTTATACAAAAATATTTTATAGTGATTAACTTAATTCTTTTATGTTTAACGCTAAAAACATTTACAGGTCCACAAGTAATTAGAATATTATGAGAACTAAGACATTTAGTTAAAAAGCAAAAAATAAAAACAAATATGATTCACGACGCGCTTTTAATCCTTTGGGATTGCTCACATACGACCGAAGGGCAGGTAAATTCAGAAGAAATATAATTCATAACTAGCTCAAAACAAAAACTGATTGAAGAATTTTTTTTTGCAGAAAGAACTTGTCACATACGCCAACCATGGAGATCAAGAAATATTTGCCAGGATAACAGACATAGCTAAGAGCCACCATAAAATTCAATGTTTTGTTGAAGCTACAGGATTCTACTCCAGGAAGTCTCATATAGGTTTGTATTCTCAACATAAATATGTTTTTATAATAGATCTAATATTGTAATACAATTAAAATATTTGAATAAAGAAAATGTTGCTACAAATTCTCATTCTCTATTCCTAGGTCTCAGGCTTTGTGGTCTATACTCTCAGGCTCTGAGTGAGGGTTTCACAGAAGTTCTACAGTCATACAAAAAAAATTTAATGGAAGTGGAAGGCCTAGTGATTGGGAATCATAATTACACTTTATCATTTGTATACAGCTATGTAGAGAAGTACAGAGGATTGTTTAACACTTTGAATAAGATTATAACTACAATCGAACATCGGAAACTGATTGGCTGTCAGATATTGAGCTTACTTCATCAGTATATTCTGAATGGCAGTGAAAAAGTACGAGAGGCTATTCTGAGGTATATTTTAATTATTAAACTATTTAGTTAAGTCTTGATTCAACCTATTTCAAGATAATATTGCAATACATGCCATTTAAAGTATATTTTCTTTAAATGGCATGTATTGCATTGCAATAAAATGGGAACTATATTTAAAACATTCAAACCTTCCGTACCATAATATGGTGACTCAAGAGTTTAGCTTTAAATGACAAGGATTAGTCCTTAAAATTTAATTCCACTATACTCTGTGGCTAACCACAGAGCATAGTGGAATTAATAGTGGAATTAACTTTTTTTTAAATTAAATTTTATTAAATTTATTGAAGTAAATATAATTAAATTGAATTAAATTTTGAATCTCACAACACTTTTCCTTTATTTTCTTTCCAGAATATTCTCCTGTGTGAATAAAGTGTTTGTGAATCAGCTATGCACGTGGCTCCTGTATGGAGAACTAAAGGATCCATACCATGAGTTCTTTATACTGAACAATCAGGCCCAAGATGCCTCGGACACATTTTTATCTTCTCCATCCACTACTAACACTTGTGATAAGTCTCTTGTGTCTACTGTGAGTATAAGAATTATTAATTATATCTTTATATGTCAATTAAAAACTGAGCAGTTACTTATTTAGTAAAAAATAAATTATTTCAAACTTTCAATGTATAAAAAAGTAAAATAGCATTTTCCCAATTACTTACAATTTAAGGTTCTTATATATTTTTCTATTGAGTTTCCAAGAGATAAGTATACTGTTTGATGCAAAAATTCTGTGACATGCCAACACGCAATACCATACAAAATCCATAGAAAACTATCTAGTCGGTTTCGAAAAAAGTATTGAACATACCTAGTTATCAAGTACTTCATTAAAAAAACACTATTATTTTTATTCTTCCAATTTTGTTCTTTAAGGTATACACAATAAAGTACTGTTTTCTAATTTCTTTTACAGCTCCAAGACACAACTTTAGAATGTGGATATGCTCTTAACACCAGTATGATACCATACTTTGTGCCTCTTTCCCTTGCACAGGAGATTTTGTTCATTGGCAAGACTATAATATTATTTGGTTTTGACCCTAAGAAAGTGAAAAAGAATAGCTCTTTTATTGCTAGTAGGACTTTGTTGCCTTTGCAGAATTGTGGAGTGGAATCTAGAAGGTAAGATTTCATGGATCAACCAGTTTAAACATAAATGAAACCTAATAAAAACGTTTGTGGAGAATTTTGAAGCTAAACTCATATAAAGTCTTGTTTTATCTTGTTCAGGCTCTTATCCCAAAATTAGCTCATAGAGCGCACTACTTACTGCGTGCGCGAAGCAATTCCTGATAGTAAGCAATCAGCATAACTTGGCTCGCAAGACTGTTCCTACAGATCGTAGCTTGATGTTTTATAGCCTATAGCCCTCCTCGATAAATGGACTGACAAACAAAAAAAGAACTCTTCAGCTTTATAATATTAAGTATAGATTATGCTCCATAACAAAGCTGAGAATGGGTCATCATTAGAGATTATTTTTGTCTATAGAAGTAAACAATCACCGTAGTAAAAGATTTGAACGACGTAAAGTCAGCCATGTCGCTTATGTTCCGACGTCGCAGCTTACGGCACGTCGGATGCAAATCTTTTACGCACCGTCGTGCGTAAAACACTTCATGGGTTAATAGTTGTCTTTGCACGGTTACCGCCCGTGCCCTGGTTGGCGCGGTGGCAAAGCAACTGGCTGCCGGGCAACGTTTGCCGGGTTCGATTCCCACACGCAACAACTCTTTGTGTGATCCACAAATTATCGTTCTGGGTCTGGGTGTAATGTGTGTTTGTAAACGCACCCACGACACAGGAGAAAATCCTAGTGTAGGGCAACGGTTTAAAAAAAAACAATATTTAATTTTTATCCTTCTTATTATGTTTTTAAGATTTACAATTTGGGAAGACAAGGAAGCAGAATTTCATGAGAAGTTGCAAAAACTTAAAGATCCTGAAGTGTTCGAAGTTTGTAACTTGAGAGGTGTTATAAGAGAGATAAAGGAATGTGTAACTAAGGTAGGCGAAAATAGAGTTAATTTTTGAATAGTGTTGTATTTCTTTTATGTGGTAGTGCGACAAACATAAATAGGCGTATAAACCTGATGGTAGGCAATCGGCGCCGCTCATAGACATCTCCAACCCAATAGGGGTTATGTGCAGTCAGGGGTCAAAAATGCAATTACACTCTACCAATTTTAAAATGACTATAATTTCTTTGTAGTAAATGTTCAATGGTTCACAGCCCATTTATTCAATAATTAAGATTCTATAAATTAAAGCAGTCCTCAACCATTGACTCTAATCTACAAAGATATTTTGGTCATTTTAAAATTGGTAGAGTGTAATTGCATTTTTGACCCCTGACTGTACAAAAACCTTGCCGGCCTCTTGTAGGTTATTAGGAATTAGGAATTAAAGGATAAAGATGAAGGTGGCGGAACCTCAATCCCCGGAGAAGTATTGGGCCTCTGGTAATCACAAGTGTTGGTACACGCCAGTATTCTGTGACACTTCGGTCGAGTCGGCCCATTCACCCAGCACGTCAGTCACAGACTTAAAAGTATAAATACAAGTCTAAATTTAAATTAAACTAATAATGAGGCCGATAACTATACCTAGCAATGGAACCTATTCTTATTCCTTATCTAGCTACAGTGAAACAAAAGTGAGGAATTATATTTTTATTTTTCAGCATCTCTGGACTGTGGCAGTAGAGGAAGCGCAATTAATACACGAACTGAGACTTATGAAAGATTTCTACCTGCTTGGACGAGGTGAACTGTTCCTGGAGCTATTGAGACTTACTGCCCATATGCTGGACAAGCCTACTGCTAGGACTTCTACTAGAGGTAAGTGGCTGTATTACTAATTCCAAGAAATTTAAATATTTCATAACCAATAGTTAAATTAAAAATTGCCCATTTGTTAAAGTATTAAAATGACTATAGTAGGTCCCTGTATATGTATAAGGTATCGTGGACTTTTCTATAAGTAGACCTACTAGCGGTCGTCCGCGGCTCCGCCCGTATGGATGTCGATTTTACATTTTTGAAGATTTTTTTTTTAATTTTGTCAATTCTTTATGTAAATAAATTATTTCTAGATATGAACCACGCGTTCCAGTTAGCAGCAAGAGCGGTATTTCTCAGTAACAGTGCGGATATAGAGAAGTTCAGCTTCGAATTGCCTTATGTGAAGCCCAACGTCTCCGCCAACACGACCATTGACGACGATAGCGCCACTGGTTCGTATAAGAACTTATTATATTATGAAATGTCAATAAATTAATTGATTTTTATTGTATGTACCAGTGTCCATACTATATCTTAATTTTTTCTACTTTTAACTAGCTTACGTTACTGCTTAACGAAAGTGTTAACGAAGTTACTCGTCTAATTTCAAGCCATGCAGGGGTCCAAAATCATATTTTCTAAACCATTTTGACAGTTATCGAGTTTTACTAATGGATAAACTGCTACTGATATATTTGTTTTTTCATAAGTAGGTACTTAATTGTTTTTTTAAAATTACTATAGATCATTGACTTCTATTCAAATTTTTTTGCCAAAGGTGCTTGAATAAAAACTACAAAATCTATACAAAGTACTTAAGGTTTTATCAAAGAAATTTCAATCTACATATCTTAATTAAGGTTTCAGTTTCATTACATTTCAGTGGCAGATGGCTGGTCCAGTATTATCCTGAAATATGACTTCAAGTGGCCTTTACACCTCTTGTTTACGCCAGAAGTGCTAGCTCGGTACAACGACATGTTCCGTCTCTTGCTTCGAATTAAGAAAACTCAACATGATCTCCATGCCCTTTGGAAAACTTATAAACAGTCGACAAGGTGAGTGATTTGTTGTTTTATTTTTATTTGTATGTAGTAGTATGGAAACGAAACGAGCAGATTGATTGATTACCTTATGGTGAGCAATCCGTGCCGTCCATGGACACCCTCTGCAATGGAGAAGTTACTAGTGCGTTTCCGAACTTTTAAGGATTGGGTTGAGGAGAAGGATTGGACCTCCGGTAACCTCACTCGCACGACGAAACACAACGTACTCGTAACTCATCTGTTGTTGTGTGTCCATAGGCGGCTCTGACTGTTTACCATCAGGATATCAGTCTGCTCCTTTGCGTATCACAAAAAAAAATTGGTGTGACACGCTCGTTAACCTAGACAGTAGCGAGTATTTTAATACTTAGGCAAAGGAAACTCGAAACTCCTCCCTAGAATGTATACCAACCTTAAAAAATGTGTTTTTTTGTATTCCAGCTTCCAAATGTGCCAGTTGCATAACAAACTTATGTTTCTAATGGACAACCTACAACACTACATGCAAGCAGACGTACTAGAAACTAACTTCGCCCGACTCATGGACGCCGTGCACAAGACCAATGACTTTGAGAAACTTAAGAAGGCCCACGCCAACTTCCTAGCTGATGTTCTCAGTCAGTCATTTCTTACTGTTACTTCTGTAAGTTACTCTTTTGTGTTACTTGGTGTACTGTCATTTTAGAAAACTTATTTCGTAAAGTGCATAAATATTCTATTAATTTTATAGACAGGAATGTTTGTTTTAATGGATGAATGTTTGTTAGTCTTTCAAGTAAAAACTATTTAATGGATTTTAATGATACTTGGCACAGATGTAGACACAGCGTATATATAGGCTACTTTATATACAGACAACGCGGGTGAAGCCACTGGAACGCGAAATAGTCGTCGTCAGATATATGTATAGGGACATTCAAAGTACTCAATTATATAGAAGCAATCAAACCACCAAAATCTCGATACAACAAAGTCACCATATAGAAAGGAACACGCAAAGCGTCATAAATATCGATACAGTCCAACTGTGGGCACTGTAAGTGCTCAAAAATATGAAATACATAAGGAAAATGAACTTATCCTTTACACTTCAAGTATTTTAACTAACTTGTCCACAGTTGTCAGTGTTTGGACTTTGTCTATATAATTGAGTAAATACCCTGAATGTTTCTATATATCTGACGCTGGCTGTGGTATGTTATAATTTTGTATGTTCTAAGATGGACTAGGTCTTTTAGCTGTTCAGCGTGAGCACGACAAAGTCTTTGTATGACATTCTACTGGCTCCTTACATGACTCGAATTAATGTCAGCCTGATTTCGTCCACTGCTGGACATAGGCCTCCCCAATTGCGCGCCACTGAGCTCGATGTTCAGCTCTTCTCATCCAACCACTGCCAGCTACCCTGCGTATATCGTCAGTCCACCTGGCTGGCACCAGTCAGCCTAGCTGGAGAGAGCCCGACACTACGTTTCTCTAGACGTGGTCTCCATTCTAGAACGCTTCTATTATATTTTTTTATATTTATAGTCAGGTGACAGTGACAGTTCAGATTTAGCGGATGCCCTCAACAATCCAGTGTTCTGCAATATCATGGAACTGCTCAAACTGTGCCATTCGTTCTGTGGGATGAACGACACTGTCGATGATAAGGAGGCCGAGGATTATTACATCAAGGGATATTCTGATCGGTAAGTGTTGGTTTATTTCAACTTTTTGGAAATTATAATTACGTATGGATTGGAATAACGAAAGATAACGCAGCTATAGAACTAATGGAATGCGTTTATCCAAAGACTGAACAGACATTTTAATTTTTTTTTATTCTGTGCTAATGAATTGCCCAATGAATGAATGAACAGAATTGAAGAAGCTCAAAGATACTTATTGCCTTTAATCTTCGGTTGGCGCGGTGGCTGCAAATCTGGCTGCCATGCAACGTGTCGCGGTTTCGTTTCCCAAACGGAACAACTCTTTGTGTGATCTAATAATTGTTGTACTCAGTATGAGTGTGTTGTGTATGTGAAATTGTATGTTTGCCACCCACGACACAAGTGAAAATCCGAATGTGAGGCAACAGTCCTTTTAAAAATAGAACTTTATTTTATATCTACTATATTTTTTTTTATTTTAGGTTCAGCAAGCTAGTTAAACAACTAATGCAGTTGTTAGTTTCTCTCCGCGACCGGCCTTGTGGTGTGTACCTCGCAAGACTTCTAATGAGATTGGACTACAATAGATGGCTCAGTGGAGAAGCGCAGTTGACACAATCTGTCACTAATATGCTGCGTTACTGATATTGGGACATGGAGAATAGATCTGAATAAAACCAGTATTTACTGGTCAATAAATGATACTTCATCAAGAGTTATCGGAGCTCAAATTGAGCTTTTCAAGAGATTTGATAGCTCTTTCATTCCATCTGCAACTTGATGTCGAAATAGAGTCGATTACATACCTTTTTGGGATCAGCCCCAGATCACCATTAGTAACATTGTGCTTAAAATGAAGTAATAAATAAATCAGAAAAATATATCGTACAATACAACCAATATAACTCCAGAAGGCAGAAAGTGTCTACCAAAAAGTAGGTATACATACAGACACTAGTGTCTACCTTCTAAAGAGTAAAAACTATACTAACGCCCTCTAGGACAGTAAGAGCTAAAACTACTAATACTAGAGTTCATTCCATAATTAGAGACAACAATTTGACAACTGCAAATGTCAAACTACAAAATAATGTTGCCAGATTTTTTAACATAGTGATGGACCCGAGTACGATGTTTTAAAATACCGATACCGTTTTTTTATAAATTACCCAGAAAAAAACAAAAAAAAAGTTGCGGGGATGTTTTTATAGTATAATTGTACCTGGTTATTAATATATGAAGCGTAGAAAGGACTTGAAGATTATCACAAATAAATGAACTCGGAGCAATATGAAGAGATCAGAGATCAGATAGGAACGATATTACAATCTGACTGACAGACATTATTTTTATACTTATAGAAACCAATACCAACGTATTTCTATAGTTCGTTCCATAATTAGAGACAACAATTTGACAACAGCAAATGTCAAACTACAAAATAATGTGGCCAGATTTTTTAACATAGTGATGGGCCCGAGTACGATGTTTAAAATAAAATACCGATATCGTTTTTTTATAAAATACCCTGAGCAAAATAAAACAACGTTGCGGTGATGTTTTTATAGTTTAGTGGAATTAATAATAATATTTTAAAATAAAAAATGCCAAGTCCAAGACTGGCTAAAAGAAAAACATTATATTTGAGGAACCTATGCTGAAAGCCGAGCTGTTGGAGATTTCCCGAAAATAGAAGAGTAATTATGAACGATACGTCGTGGACTGATGGGTGCTAAAAGGTGGGCACTAATTTACGGTTGCCTCCTTACCATTGTGATTTTAACCCGACTGAGTTAGTATGGGCACAGGAAGGTACCAGGGAAAGTAGCTAAAAATAATAAAGCTTTTAAAATGCACGAAGTCCAAAATTTAATTTCGGTCTTTCGGTCAATACCGGTCGCGGGACTTCACTATTTATGAATTGGAAAAAACATGCAATACTCGAAATGTCAAATCGTTGTCTCTAATTATGGAACTAACTATAGGCTTAAATTATGTTTGACATTCCATCTGTCAAATTGCTGTGAAGAAATGCCAAAGCTGACCATAGTTTCTTGTAAAATAATTACATCATATCAATGCTAATAGTTAATAGTTTTACAAATGATTTTCGGTCTTTCGGTTAATACCGGTTGCGGGACTTCACTATTTATGAAATGGAAAAAACATGCAACACTCGAAATGTCAAATCGTTGTCTCTAATTATGGAACGAACTATACATTATAACTTGCACACAACTGCACATGTCTTTCATCTTGAAATATGAAAGCATAAAGGATAGCAAATTTTATTGGACCTAATTAATTATTTCATATACAAATAAAACAACTAAATTATAATTTGTGTTTTTCTTTAATCATCATCATCATCGTTAATCTCTTCATCAACTAAAACGGCGGCGTCTTCTTCATTCTTTTTAGCGATGGCGTGTTCAGCTTGTTGCATCATGAAGGTTTTAGCTAATATGCATGTGGTCATATGGCAGGAACAGGGAAGGGGGTGCTCTATGGTTTCGGGATCCAACATTGTCATTAGGAGGTTGTATCTGGAAAAAATAAAGTAGGTTATTAGGTATGTGAGAAAACACAAATTTTATCTTAAAAGCCTTTGAAGGCGTCAAATAAATGCGTGTTTATAAGAATAAATAATATGGATTTGTAACTGACAAATATTCTAGAAAAGTGAATTATAGAGCTGTTCTATCAGTGTCAAGGAGTAAATATAACCTACTTTTTATCCCTATGAATGACAAGTTAAAGCAAGATACACTAGGAGAAGACGAAAATAATCTTCTAAATTACATGCAGGGTAAAGCCACTGGACCAAAACTAGTAAAAAAATGTTATAATAAGTTAAATTATGTCTATATTTGAACCTATTGTAACACTTCTCTTGATCATCATTGCGATTGACTTGTACAAAATGTTTTTCAGCACTAAATCCGCCTTTGTAAGTACTTCATAAAGTGGCAAAATAAAAAAATAAAATATAATAATTATTACCTTCTACTTGTAGCATCAGCTCTAGTCATTTCCAACTGGAACGCTATAGGTTCACCTTCCTCTACCTCAAGCTGGTCTGGCAACACTATGACTGTTTGTTTCCAGTGAGTTGGCGGGCTTTTTGGACTTGTGTCCAGAACCGTGCGACTGTCTCCTGTACTATTTGGAAGTTCGGGGAAGTTACACTCGAACCATAGGCAGAGGCCTTGGTAGAAACCATTTTTGCTTGCACCTGTAATTTCATACTGCGTTATTATTTGTATCTACTAATTATTAAGTGTGGGAGAGCCATGCTTCGGCACGAATGGGTCGGCTTAACCGGAGTAAGACTACGGTCTCACAGAAAACAGGCGTGAAACGACCAGCGTTGTGTTTAGCCGTGAATGATGTTACCGAAGGCCCAATCCCTCCCAAGCCCTAAATCTTTAAATCCCAAATCCTCAACAGGTCTGCAACGTACTCGTAACCCCTCGGTTGTTGCGGGTGTCCATGGGCGGACCTGAGTGCTTAACATCAAGTAATACGTCTGCTCGTTTGCCGACATAATATCACATAAAAAAATTGGCTTATACACATTTACGTGTCGTGGAATGTTCTTATGCCCCAGAACGCCTTAGCTTTATACATACAAGTAGATACTTATGTCTGTTCGCGTCACGACACGACATAAAACAATGTCACTAAAATTAAAAATTCATGAAACCTATACATTACAACTACCGTCATGACATGTACTTATATATTTTCCATAGAAGGGAGTAGATATTTTCGGCTCGAAAGTATTTACCTATAAAAAGTTGATAGTCTATTCCAATTCAGAGATTTCAAAGAGTAATGATTTGTTTACGGAGCCGCGGTGTCTGGATCATCACACAATTACAAACACTAGTAATATATGACGATGACGATGTTGAGATTTTGAGATACTCAACGCCTCGTAAATAAGGCCTAGGTTACAGGACTAGAGAAAAGTTTTTTTTTTAAATAGAACTTTCTGTTCAAATGGAAGTAGATAGAATGTAGAAAATGTGGTGTTAGTTTTCATGAAATAAGAATATAGGAGTCTAACCATAGAGTAGCCAATAGGATTTTCCGCCTTGAGGTCCAGATATAAAAATCATGACATTTTATTTACCATGGCTAAAAATTTATTTTTTAATTTAGTCAATACAGAATGTTTCAGATGTTTTCTCATTTTAACGATTTCATTAAGAGGAGAACGAAATATGATGCTCTGATACAGCATCTTTGTTTTATAATTTATAAATACACCACTCATTAGGTATATGCTATTTAGTGAGTGTATTTTTATATAGTTTCACTTGATCACATCACTATGAAATATAAAATAATATTTAATTGTACTTTAAATTCTTTTTTGCATTATTTTGACAAATTTTGACAATGTACTGACAGCTCATCCATAAAGTAAACCTTTCATCAATCAATTTCCTGCCATAAATATTTTTTAAATTTTTCTTCTGGATTATACATTCTATTTAGTATCACAGATATGTACTATCCATTGCATGATTAATCCACCCTAATTTAAGCCTCAAAATAAGATTTCAATTTGAAAAACTTCAAGGATCATTTCCCAGTTAAAGTTATTCAATACTTCACTATAAACTCTAACAGGTTCCTAGGTCTTAATCATTGAGCCAATATTTGTATTTCGAATTGAAGGTAGGTGAGATAAGATTAAAAATTCAAAACTTGACTCAATGGTTTAAGCTTAGATTAAAGAAAAGATAAATCTGGTAATAAAGGGGTAAATGGTTATTATGAAGTTCTGTCTTACCTACAACATGTTGTATGCTGTAAGAATTTAAATCATGTGACTCATCATCTCTCAAATTAATCCAACAAAGTGCCTCTTCAGTCCCCAGCAGGTCTTCAGGTTTTATCGTCAGAATTTCTGGTTTACTACCCTTGCTAGTTCGAAGCTCTCTGGAGAAGGACTTCATTGATACTCCATATACATTGTCCCATTGGTTATACATTGAGGGAACACTAAAAAAAATCAAAAGGTTAAAATAAAGATCTTTAAAATTCATGCTTGGCTAGAGAATAAGAAACTTGACTTTGATTGCTTTGTGCTCTCTAGCAATTCAACTATAAGAAATAGAGAAAAATACAAACACTTAGTTGCACCTATTCTCACTCATACTCAAATGGGCGATACAGTTCTGCTGTAACTTAAAAAGAAAATAAAATAACCAATATAAATCTTACCTACATGGAGCTATATAAATGGCAGCACTCTCAGGGAATATTTCCCCTCCATCCTTGAGGAACCTGTCTCTTGCATACAGTACTGAGTCCAGCATGCCCTCATGCAGCAGGTAGAAGCCCATCCACTCTGATACTATAGCATCCACCTTCATATAATTTGGTAATGTAACATCTTCTACTCTGCTGTGGATTACCTGAAGACATTGGACATGGACATGTAATTTTTCAAATAAAATATAAATAAGTGAGGTGCTGAATATCATGGGAACCTTATCTTGGCTCTTACCTATAGAGGCTATGATCTATGTGCAGTAACAGATAAAAAGGGACTCATTTTGTTTAGGGGCTGGCAAAAGTATTATTTTTTATTTGGAAATAAAATAAAAAAAAAATTGCCAGCCCCTAAAAGTAGAAAGTAGACCAAAAATCCTTTTTGGTAGTTCAGTAAATAATTTATCCCAGCTGCTAGTATAAGCTACAAAATAAAGGTGTTCACAGAGGCTAGAACGTAGGGTCTCTCTAGCCTATATTAATAAAACAAAAAATTGCCATCGTAATAACTATCTGGCGAGAATAGGAAGATGATTAAAAAATAATTTAAAACTCCTTACTTCAATAACATTTTCAAAATTGTTTTCCTTCACTATTTCCTTAGCTAAGTTTGCTAGATTGCTAGCTTCGACAGCAAATACTTTTTTCGCGCCAGCCTGTGCACAGAATATTGATAAAATTCCAGTGCCACAACCAACATCCATAACAACTTTGTCTTTAAAATATTCTTTGTTGTTTAAAATTGCATTCCTATATGCTAAGGTTCTCGGTTCATCTTCGAGCATTAACTTGTGGACCTGAAGTAGAAAAATAGTTATGAATTAGCTATTTTCCAAGATAAAAAATATTGCTAAGTTTTCATAAAGTTATAATTACATCCAAATCTTCGTAGCTTGAGAAATATTGTGCAGCGTCCACTTCCATCATTATTTAATTGATTATTGAATACAAATACTATATTATTCCAACAATGTGAAAATGATAAACATAACCTAAATTATAAACATGGATGTTGCCACTGTCAATTATTAATTTGTTTTTCTAGAATAGGGCCACATTGCTACTGGAAAACTCACAAAATTCGAAGGAATTCTCTATCTTTTAGCAAAAATTATTGTAAAAATTATTATTTATTGTTTTTTTTATTCATTTAATAATATTTTCTTGAGCATTCAATGATTAATTACTTAAATAATAATTATTTTTTCATAATCGACTAAATTAAACTTTATATTATTTTTTATGTTACATCTGTGCTTAAAAATATTGACATCTCTTGGATGCCTTTTTAATCTGTGGTAGTTTACGAGTCCGTGCGTTGTTGTATTCCGTGGAAATTTAATTTTATTATATTTTTCGGTAGATAATGACTTTGAATTGATAAAATTAGAACTTAATATTTTATAAACCGTGCCAACATGGCTAAAGAAGGAGACATGTCACTTTTCAATGATGTGTTGGAGCCGTTTAGACGAGTAATAAATACGGACCCGCCGAAAGACAAACTGTCGTCTGCAACAAAACTGAATTTTTCTGATAGTAATCAATCTCTGAAAGAAGGTAAGGTTTTTATAAACTTTGCATGTTTTATTATAATTAATTTTCCATAAAAAACTGAATTCATTTTATTATTGTAGGTCTCAATAACCTATTAACACTTGGTAAAAGAAAGTCTAGCGTTTGTATGAATGATGTCTGTACGCCGGAGAAACGTGTGCGGTCGGAGTCTAGCTCGACACCAGCGTCGGCACCGCCGTCGCCTTGGGAGGCTAAGAGGTTGAAGATAGATTTAATAGCTGCCAAGGCTCAGGTAATTAAAAAATTCTTATTTGTATAAACTTTTCTTCACAAGTAGTTTTAATAATAGACTCTGAAGTGTGCAAATCCCTAATATGTACATTTTAATTACATCACATTACTATTTAAGTAAACCATAGTAGGCAAAGACACTAAATTCTTTGATATTATTTTTAAAATCTAAGTAAATTATAGTATGCAAAGTGATTTCCATTGAGCTCTTCGATGTTATATTTTATATTATTTTTTTCTTTGTAGATAACAAAGTTGGAATCCCGCATAAACCACCAGCACACAATACGTAAAGAGATGCAGATATTGTTCGAAGAAGAGAAAGGTTCCCTTATAGAACAACACAAGAGAGATGAGAGAGCTCTTTCTGATATGGAGGACAGATTGCAGCTGATAAGGAGGAGAGAACAGGAACTGAAAGATGAATATAACCAGGTATTATTTATTGTAATCTTTGATAAAGAAAAGAAAATCCTTTAAAAAGTCTGGCCTATCTATAGGATTTTGCCCATGTTGTGAGTGCCTGTATAAACAAAACACATATCATTGGTATTTAGATTTGGAATATTAATTTGTTGTTCAATTTAAACTCGACTTTTAAGTGCAATTTATTTGCATGATGAGGTTCCCTGTAATTAAAGGAACACAAGGTTTGTTAACTAACATTTGTATAATGTTAGCATGTAAGTTTATTCTTTGTTGGAAATTATAATAAATAAAATAGGATTATATGGAGATGGTAATAGATTTAAGTAATTTGTGCTTTCATGTCAGGGCTACAGCATAGTAAATAATAACTAGAGATAATTATCTAATAAATAATCTATTAAGCAAATAAGTTCACTATTAAAAACATAATACAATGAACCCTGATAGAATTGTTTCACTTGTCCATGATTATTGTTCTTTATATTACTTTAAAACATACCTAAGACATGTTTTACTGCATCCAAAACTGACAACTATATTATTGTTTTGAAATATGATTTATATTTAGAAATGGCATTGCCATTTTTCACTTCTAAGCTTAATATCAACCACTATATAGTCACTCCTATGTTTTATAGGAGGCAAGCATTGTTCTTTTATTAAAAAAATAAAAATGTTAGTCTATCAATTGACCATTATACAACTGATAGACAAATAGATAAAAAAAAATCTATAAAATTAAAACTTTTTTAAAAGAATATTTCCTTCAAATACTTATTATTTACAGTATTTGGCTTAATAAGAGTAATGACAATACTTAATTTATCATTCAAAATGTTGCACTTTGTACTTATTGTAAATTAAATATTTTCTATGAATTCAGGCAATCAAAGAACACAAAGAGCAAAAAGCTAATTGGGACAGAGAGAAGGCTGAGTTACATAAACAGATAGCTGACATGAAGGATAAGTTGCTGGAGTGCAGTGTCAGCAGCAAGGACCAGCTGTCTGAGATGAAGAAGGATATGGATGAACTGCTACAGGTAAGCCATGAAAATATATTATGACTTATTATTTTATTATGAATATCAAGTGAAAAGTTTTATACAGGTTACTTGGTAGTAATCCTACCAAGTAAACTGTTGATGGGGTAACTGCCCAAGTAGCACACTTCAGCCGCCTTAAATCTATTTATGCTATAGGAGTACTAATCATGGCTATTTTATAGACATTGGCATTCTATACAGGGTTTTAGATAAGAACTAAAATTCTAATAGAATAAAATATCTAGTGTCCCTTGTTTTAAAACCTTTATTAGTTCATTACACTGAGTTAAGAGCAAATTGATTTGTTATGGACTATATTCGCACTGTTAAAAGCGCTGCTGTAGATCAATTATTCTATAGACTTATTATCACAAATACTTTTTGAGAATTGCAATTATTTGTAGACCAATTACTCTATAAATAATCAAAAAGGTCTTTATATGGATTTGTTAGGCACTTTTTTAAGTCCATACTTAATAGAATCAATGACTAGATACTCTATAGTGTATACTCTAGTGAAACGCCGGCTTCCTCTTTCATTAGAGAATTTACGTTAAAAACATTTTATTTTAAGTGTATTGAGTATATAAAGTACAGCGTTCTGCAAGCATGAAGAAAGCAAAACATATTAAGAATACAGGAGGCTTTCGGAGAAAAGTGGAAAAGTATAAAAAAGGTATTTACGCGGGTATTAACGCGGAAAATTATAATTTGAATACCTTGGTAGGCTTGACGTTTCGACCCGGTTGTGCAACCGGGTATTTTAATGTTTTAATTTTTGTTATTGTAATTTTAATAACCGCGAGATTAGATGGGTCCTTATCGAACTGAGTATACCGAAAGCCAACTCACACTGATCGGTACCTACATGCAAAGTCACATCACCACCCCCGAAATCATAAGCAATCATATTACAATTAAAATTCGGGCCATAATTTGTGACTCACCAGCTCGTGCATTTATTAAAGGTATTGCTAACTTCAACAGTCAGAATGGGTGTCCAAAATGTACATCGATTGGAGAGTATTCATATTAGTCGCATTGCAGGTGGAGATGTCCCTTAAGAACCGATGAGGGGTTCCGAAATAAGACATACGGATCGCACCATAAAATGGATAGTGCTCTTTTGCTATTACCTATTGATATAGTATTAGATATTCCAGTTGCAGACTCTCTACATTTAATCGATCTTGGGATAATGAAGCGGTGTTTAATGGGATGGCGCAACGGCTCTTTCAGTAACTACAAGACCAAATGGCGAGCTTCTGATATCATAGCCATAACGCAGTTGTTAGTGCAATCCAAATTACCGAAAGAAATTCATCGTGCAGTAAGAGGTCTTGACACAATATCTTTTTGGAAAGCATCCGAATTTAGAACAGCTGCGGAAATAGATTCAATATTTATTTTGCAAAAGCGGGCTATCCGAGCGATATATAACTTGCCCCCTCGTGAATCTCTGAGAGAACTATTTAAAACGATAAATATCCTAACGGTACCTTGTCAGTTTATAGGTATATGAAAATATTATGTACGTAAGGAAAAATTTGCAATTATTTGAAAAAAGAAGCGATAGACATAATTTTAATACTAGAGGCAAAGATAGGCTGGCTGTGCCACGATTCCGTCTGTCCAAAGTACAGAAATCCTTTATGGGGTTCTGTGTAAATTGTTACAATAAAATTCCAAGAAGTGTATTAAATCTTAATGAACGAAAATTTAAAACTTATATTCAACGCGAATTATGTAGACAGGCTTACTACAAACTTTCAGATTATATTGACGATAAGAATGCCTGGCAGCATGTTGGTTCGGCTCCACTGGACAATACTCAAATATGTAGTCAGTAGTCATTAAAATTCTTAAAATTAATGAAACCTTGAATGAGTTTATTTATATAGAAGCATTCTTTTGGATTGTGAGTACGCATATGTGAGCGCCATGTTCGAGACTACAAAGAATTAAAATTTTAATGATAGATTAGATAGACCATCATTTGTTCCTTTTTATTAACAACTTGTCTCTGCATTGTTCTCACATAGGGGTACAGTAATGTATAAAAAATGTATTATTGGTGAATTGTAAAACAAATATTTTTTTAAAAAGAGTAACGATGGAGTTTCTTGCTCGTTCTTCTCCATTCGAAACTACAATTTGGAACGAGCACCTAGCTTCACTGACGAACAGACTGACAGACTACTATTCTATTTTGACGTTTTCAAAAGTACCTATTTATGGTTTAGTTGGAATAAATGATTTTGATTTGATTTGATTTCAACATTTTTATTGTATGTAGGTATTGTTGTTTTAGAAAAATATTTACATCCTGATGCTTATCAACATTTTTAACAACTATTTTGCGCAGTTACCATATGCTCCACTGAAGCCTATGCTCACCTACTCTACTTAGCATTGCTGAATCGTTATTTAATACATATATTGAATACTACAGAGAGATTTATGGAGAAGGCCATATGACCAGTAATGTCCATAACCTATGCCACGTAGTAGAGGAGGTAAGGAGATTCGGGATATTATCTTCATTCGATGACTATCCTTTTGAGAATACTTTGCATCATAAGCGACTACTGAGGAGTGGCCATAAACCTCTACAGCAGGCTGCGAAAAGATTAATCGAAAAGACTAATATTTCAACTTACGGAAATTGAAGAGGTCCCTCACATAAACTAACAAACATAAAGACAAAGATTAAAAG